AGACAAGAGATGGAGGAAACAAAAGCTTTTTGTGAATCCATCTCTAGAAGGGAAGCTGAGTTCGTGCCAACCCATAAACCACCCCAGACTGCTGTTAACTTGGCTACAAGACCAGAGCAAGAGCATTACTCCTTGGACTCAACAAGAGGTTACAAGCCGAAGCCACTAGAGAAGATCTCTAACCCGGAGAAGCTTGATGTACCTTGCATCATTAATGGAGTTTTGTTCAAGGATTCCATATGTGATACAAGATCTCACATCAACATCATGAACAAAGGAATAGCCAAGAAGATTGGGATTGAAGTCAGGGATCCCTCCAAGATACCAATGCGGTTTAAAGATGACCCTTATACTCTCTTCCATGGTTTCATCTCGAATCTTACACTATCCATTGGAGATCACGTCTTTAAGGCTGATTTCCATATATTAGAGATGAAACACGACCCTGACAAGCCATTGAGTTTTGGTTCATCATTCCTTGAAGCCAATGGAGCAATCTTGGATCTTCAGAAGCAAAGAATCTCTCTCTCCAAAATCAGTAAAGCCATGTCCTATCCGGCGGTTCCTATCAAGAGCTCTCATTCTGCAGATGTGTGCGCTAGAGAGGAACCACTATCAGAGCCTAATAATGACCAGGAGTTGATAGACGTCATATCAGCAGCCCCTCTCATCATATCTAAGGAAATTGCCATACCGGCAAAGGCAAACTGCATTAAGGTTTCAAGTGTCTTCAAGCAAGATTTTGACACCAAGGGAGTACAAGGAGGACGTGATTGATGCCACACACAGCCTACAAGAACTTCAAGATGCTTCTCTAAGTTCAGCTTTGATTTCCAGAATAAGGAAAACAAAGAACCCTTCAAGGATGGGCTGCACAAGAAGAGGAAACTCTTTACTGGTGGTATTGTTTCTTGCAACTACATTCAAGACCTTCAAGATATCCATAGGAGGAGTTTCAAACCGTCAGGTCCAGAATGTAGAGAAGCTAAAGGAGCCTCAACTCTTCTATTGATCAATTGGTCAATTAGAAAGAGAAAGAGTCAAGCTAAAAGACTTTAAACAAGCGCTATATGGGAGGCAACCCATAAGGTGTTTTCTTTTCCCTTTTTACTTTTTGTTTTAGTTTAATGGTTTTTGTTTTGTTTTTGAAGTTTTGGATACAGAGATTTGAGAATCTAGCATGAAATTTGAGAAGAAACCTCGAAAAAATGAAGAAAAGAGCAATCATGTGGCCGGGCCGATCCCAACGACCGACCGGAACGCATCAGTCAAACATGTTCCCTCTGGAATTCCCGCCTACAACCCTCCATCCCATCCCACCTATCCTATTAAACAATCCATCCCATCCCACCATCAAAGGAGACCCACGCCCAATCACAAGGAACAAGGCAAACACCACTTGGGAATGATAAAGGAGAGATAAAAAATAAATTCGGTCAAAGAAAAACTCAGTTGGCCCGAGTGGACTTGAAAAAATCAAATCCGGTCTATTTCTCTCGGCCATGACGAATTCAAGAAGAACCAACTCTTGGCCAACTCCTAAACCGCATGTCCGAAGTCCACCAAACTTCACAGACGGCCATAAAATCCAATTTTCGTCAGCAAATCCAATAGATAGGACAGTAAAATGTTCATGGTTCAGGATATACCAAATCACAGCATAGGCGCGAATTCCGGCTGGAAATGACTTCCTGGAAGTTCACTAACACATTTACAAAGGAAGATAACAAAACGAATGAGCCAAACTCAAGGATGGTCAAGAAACCTCTTCCTGGAGCCATATTCTTTTGTGAAAGATCTCTCTCAATCCGCTCGTTCGAATGCTCTCAAACTTCACCAGAGGCCATAAAATATGAGGTTGGTCGATGAATTTCAATATGGGTCGAGGAATTCTTCTTAGTTTGAGCTGTGGTCCATAGCACTACTCCGGTCAACCGAAATGTCCCATCTTGGCCAAAACGCATTCCGGAGTGAACCAAGCCCTGAAATTCAAAACTCACCGACCCATATCACATGAGGAAGTATTTCATTCACCAAACCGGCCCTGAGCTTCATGACCTAAGGTCATCACTTTGTATCCATCCAATCTCCCAACAGTCCAACACCAATGATTGTGGCAAAGATCTATCACAATCACACATCCGTTTGCTACAATCCCAAGGCTACTCCCACTATCGCCTTCCCTTAGGCCGCCCTTCAAGAGATTTTACCGTTGACGCATGGTACTTGATCATCTAATCCGGGATACAAGCTATTATTTGGAGTTCATTCAAATGCAGCATGGTAGAAGGTTTGGCAAGCTTATCTCAACTTATCAAAGGACCAGGACAGCCACATACCACCAATGGGTAGGTTTCTTCATGACTTAATGTCTAATCAGGTTACATCTTTCTTCTCATTCACTCACACATTATTACCTCTTTCCTCCCTTAATCGGATTTGCTTTCACCGGGACGGTGCAAGTTAAGTCTGGGGGGATTGTCGGTACTAATGTGTTTGTTCATGCCTTGTCTTCATCTTATATCTTTTTTTCTCTTTTCCACCTTTTTCAAAACTTCTGTTTTATTGAGTCAAAACCAGTTAGGAAACAATGATCTATCTTAGGAGCTTACCTTATCACACCAAAGCTCTTGTGATCACAAAGGCGAATATTGACACCGAAAAATGCCTAACGGAACCTCTAAGGGTGGATCGACCTACTGATTGGCAAGATTTCTAAGGTACCCGGACAATCTAAAGTTAACTCCACCACCTTAATGAACTTTAATTTTTCTTGTCAAGGGGCTTGAGACACATATGAGCCGACTCCTCATTCAGGTCTAGTTGAGACATGTCCGCAAAGAAAACAGTCACCTCTCTCTCATCTGCAAAAGTAACTCAAAAGCTTTTAAGCACAAGGAAAACGTGTAAGCAAGAGGAATGCATACGTCTGCACCTTCGTTGTCTTATGGAGACCTACTCAAACAAGGAAAAAAGAAAAAAGCCTATCCTATGTGTTCCCACAAAAGAACAGAATCAAAGGGAGAAGGACCAATAGAAAAAATAAAATGATACCCTAGAAAAGTAGGGAAAGATTGATCCTTCAAAAGAGATGAGAGAAAGAGAGAGGTTTGGAGCTGGTTGTGCTAAAAAGGACTTCTTGGCAAACACTTGGATGGGTAAGAATCAATGCTCTGTGATCAATACTCCCTTGATAAAGACCGCACGCTTTTAAATACTGCAAGGAGTTAACAATTTTGGAGTTTATGAGATTTGTTGGGTCCGGTATGGTTCGCTAAGCTCAAGGTCAGTACTGAAAGCTAGTTTCAAAGTTGGTTTTGCTCCAAAATGAAAGCAGAGCAATGGTAGATACAAGTTCTAAAGGATAAGTGAGTTTTCATGTTTTCAAAACCTCTTCACCAGTTTGGATTCGATTTGCTTGGACTCTACATCATCAATTAATGTAGAATTAGTTGAGATTAAGTCAACAGTGAAGAATCTGGCAGATAAAGTTGATATTGTTGCTAGTGCTCTTCAAGCTTATATTATTACATGCAGCCAATTCAAGGTAATGAATGGTTTATTTGCTGCTTTTGGATCAATCCATTTCTTTAATTACGAAATTACGTTATGCAGGTGAATGAGACAGATAGAGACGCAATGGTTGACATTCTTAAACAAGCAATATCTAAGGTAACATTCTTAAACAAAAGCAATATATAAGGTTGACATTCTTACACTTTATGTTTTCTTTTAGCTTATGATTTCTGTTTGCTTATGAAACAGATAGAAAACCAAGAGATGGAGTTATGAGATTCCAGATTGTTCATAATATCCAAGGTATGATTGGTTTTGTTCTGTTTGAGAAATGGTATATTTGATTGGTCTGAGAAGATAAGTAGTGCTTAGTGTGTGGTAGATTTGAACATAAGTATTGCTTACATGGTAGATTTGAGAACACAATAGGTCTGAGAACATAAGTAGTACATGATAGATTTGCTTAGATTGGTTTTTGTTCTTTGAAAAATGACCAAATATGCTTAGTTCTGATTTGATCTTGTGTTGATGATAGGTAAAGGAGGAAACTATTGAAGAGTATAACTACTGAGATGAAGAACAGTTGGTGGAAACATAATACAAAGAGTATAATTACATTCATAACAATTATCTTATGTTAATTTGTATTATGTTTCAGCTCAATAATATATTTTGGTCATGACAATTTGTATTTGGATTATCATTTCTATAATACAATACAAATATACATTAATTAGCATCATTTTTTTTTAATCAATGATATAAGTTGCGTCGGTTGTTAAATAACACAATGTATCTTGTGTCACATGATAAAGTGTTGCCAAACTTTGTTTAAGTGACGTAAAATTTCTGACGTGAAAGTACACGTTACTTTAGTAAGTGATGCCAAATAATTTAGCGTCACACACGTTATTACGACGCTTTTCTAAATCACGTTAAAGTGCTTGTTAAAAAGTAACGCTAATGTCCAATATAAACGATGTAAGATGCCGTGTATCTTGTAGTTTGTTATGTAAATTAAAGTGTAATAATCAAAATATTATAAATTAATTAAATAATTTTAAAATTAACGAATAAAATATTGATAAAAAAGAAGAAGACAGACAAGTTAGCATGAAGTAATCGAGCTCTCTTTCACGATATTTATACTATAAAAACTCTTCGCCACTAATTTTGATTACTGAGCCGTTTTAAGTGTTTTAAGTGTTGAGACTGATGCACAAAAAAAAAAAAAAAATACACTGATATATCATGATTTTATACATGTGTTGAAATGGCCGCCTGAGGCTACTTAACTTGTAAAACAATATTAATAGGCCCAAAAGTACACAGCCCGTTAGTTATTTCCATCCCGAGTATTGGGTAAATTCAGATAACTTTAACCCGACCCGTTACCCGGTTGTTAAACTTTCTGGTTTCTAGGGTTTCGTCTCCCTCTCTCTCTTTCTCCATCTCTTCCTCTTTCTCATTGAAATCGAACGAGGATGGGGAAGAAGAAATCAAAGGAGACGAAGGCTGAATCACAAAACGAAGAGTCTCTGCCGCAATCAGGTATCTTCACCACTCTCTTCTCCGGCGATGCGGCTGAAGGCGAAACCTCTGGCTTTTCGAGTCTCTTCTCCAACGATAACCCTTTCCGACGAAAGCAACCGGAGCCAAAACCAGAGAAAATCGATAACAAGGATGAGGAAATCGACACAGTTTCGCCCGTGAAGACGAAGAAATCTAAAAAGGAGAAGAAACCGAAATCTCCGGATTCAGATTCCGACGCCGAGACGAAATTGGATGTTGTCGAGAGTGGGTTGGATTCAAAGAGGAAGAAGAGGAAGAGATATGAGGTAGAGAGCGAATACGAGACGAAGATGTATGGAAGCGTAGAGAAGAAGGAGAAGAAGGTTGGTGAGAAGAGGAAGAAAGCTGATGAAGTAGCGGATACAATGGTTTCGAAAGAAGGATTCGATGATGAGAGTAAGCTTCTTAGAACTGTTTTCGTCGGGAACTTGCCATTGAAGGTGAAGAAGAAGCTCATCTTGAAAGAATTTAGCAAATTCGGTGAGGTTGAGTCCTTGAGGATACGCTCTGTGCCAATTGTCGATGTGAGTTACAAACTTACTTTAGGTATAAATTTGGTTCCATCTATGTTCATTGATTTCTGATTTTGTTTGATTTTGGATTGATTAGTCAAAGAAAACGAGGAAAGGGGCTATAATGTTGAAGCAGATCAATGAGAAAGCTTCAAGGTTTGTGCTTGAAACCCCTAAATTGCTAGCAGTATTGTGGACTGGATTCTTCTAATATTTGATGTGAATCTTGTTTGAAAAAATGCAGTGTTCATGCTTATGTAGTGTTTGAAACAGAGCAATCTGCTGAAGCTTCTCTTGCACATAACATGTCTCTGGTAAATATAAACTTATCTCGCAGGGCCTTCTTCTCTGTGGTTTTGAGTCTCAAGAAGTAAGTTATGTATAGATTGATTAATGGTTTTGGGATTTACATTTTAGATTGATGGGAATCATATCCGCGTTGATAGAGCTTGTCCTCCTCGTAAGAAGCTGAAAGGTCAGGATGCTGCTCATTTGTATGATACTAAGAGGACTGTCTTCTTGGGAAATCTCCCATTCGATGTGAAGGTTAGTACTCTTGTCTCGAGAGCTCTCTTGTTCAGTTTGCGATGATCTTATCAGACTTTTTCTCAGTTTTGTTCGTCTGTAAACGTAGGATGAGGAGGTGTATCAACTGTTTACTGGTAAGAGTAATACGGAGAGCAGCAATGTAGAAGCTGTTCGTGTGATCAGAGATCCTCACTTGAACATTGGAAAAGGAATTGCTTACGTCTTGTTTAAGACTCGGGTATGTCGATGAAAACAACACTCTGATTTATTCAAGTTTTGAGGAAATATGTCTGATGAGAGCTCGTTTTAACTTATAGGAAGCTGCACATTTGGTACTCAAGAAAGGATATTTGAAGCTTAGAGAGAGAGAGCTACGTGTTTCTAAAGTCAAAGCTGATGCAACACCATCAAAGAGAAAGGAGAATCCTTCTGGAGCTTTTAACTCGCCGGCTCAGAAGAGACAACAGAAGGAGCAAATAGTCATACCAGTTGCGTCGGCAAAGGGTAATCTTTCGTATCAAGGCGCACGAGCATCGAAATCCGGTGACGATAAGAAGAAGCCTTACCAGAAAAGCCCTGCGCAGTCAAAGATGATGAGACCTAGAAGCAGCAGCAGCAGCGGCAATGAAGGCAACAAAGGTGGTAATAGTAGTAGTGCTCTGAAGCAGCGGAGTCAGAAACGGCCTGCGGTTGCGGCAAGGAAAGCGAAAGCAAACTCGAAAAGTTCGAGAGAGAGCGGTGGTGGTGGTGGTGGTAAGAGATTTGCAGGGACCAAGCGTAAACAGGAAAGCAGAACGCCTGAGAGCGTCTCTAAGAAGAAGAAACCAAAGCGGTTTTAGGCAAACATAATGTGAAACCTTTTTCTTTTCCCTTAGTTTTGATACTTGTTCGTTTTTGTATCGTTCTATTTCAGCTTCAGGATGATATAACTCTCACTCTTGTAATGTTGAATCAATTATGGTTACTTTCGCGTTTAAAAGGAAGATATTGTGATGACTGTTTTAACTTTTAACTCGACTTATTTATCGATAATCGACATATGAAAGCAAAAGACTTTCTTATGGGGTTTTAGGACTTGATCATTACGGTTTATAGAGTACATAAATGTATTATCGTTTCAACTTGTGTCTAAATGGATTTATTTACATTTGGTTTGAAATTGTAATGGTAACGATAATTGCTATGGGTTTAGCAAGAAGAAAGCATATAAACAAAAATAAAGAAGTGATCAATTTGCGGAAAGTTCTAAGTTCTAAAACCTGAACGTTATTAAAACCCTCTAGACGACTTGGAGGATTTGAATCTTTTTTTTTTTTTTTTGATGACTCGGGTGTCCTCGCCTCCACCAAGGTGGGTCCAGACTAGTGTGGGGGGCCGTCGCATTTTCAGCCTTTAAGGGTGGTTCCACGTAATCCCGGAGAACTGGTGATCACCTCATTTTAATCCACCAGTGGCTGGGACTCGAACCCATATGGCAGAAGTCACAGCCATGACCCCTTTACCACTGGGGCACAAGCACCAGTTAAAAAAAAGTGTTGGTTGTTTCAGAATGAATTATTCCTAACTCATTAGATCCATAAACTATAAATCGTCTGATCAAATCAACTAATGAGATTAAGACAAAGTCAGTATGGCTTATATGCAAAACATTCAAAGTATCATAATATTATCTCTGCAAAAAGACAACAGTTATTTGAATCTTGACGGTATGGAAGGTGTTTTAGGACTTTTAGCCTTTTAGTGGTTGACACTTATGTTCTAAAACGCGGCCGCAAAAATGGTAACAAAGAGTTTGGCGGTCAAAAACCGTGGCAATTTTGCAATTATCGGTTGAAAACTCATAAATTTTGAAAAAGAAACTCATCTTTTTGTTTGTTTTCAGTTAAGGATTAATATGTATGATTGGATCTATCAATTAAGAGCTAAATATGTAAAGAAAAACGGAAATAAATTATGTGAATTGTAGATAATTGTCAGCGGCTGCAATTTAGGGTTTTTGTACGATCCGTGTGAAGAAAACGAAGTAGTAATTACCAATATATCATTCATTAAACGAAAATAGAAAGAAAAAAAAACAATATAACATTCCACTTCTGGGTATTAAAAACAATAGAAGACCAGTCGGGATTTATTTAGGGTAATAAAACCTTGTTACACAAATTAATAAAGTGTTCATTGCACCCAATTGCGTTTTTAGAAATATATTTACTATAATATATATAAATCTAAAATAAAATAAATCCTCCTAAATATATCAGGATTGGTCTTCGATTAATCTTCGTTTAATTGATTAGGCGCTAGACGGATCTCGAGCGCACGATTAATGTCTAAAGTATTTTTGACCACATGTTGACACAGATCATATGGAATGGGAGAAATCAAAATCAATGATAAAGCTTTAACGTTTGTGCATAAACCCCGTCAATTTATTCTTATAAATCAATCCATCACCTTCCAATAACTAATTATGATAATGGTTAAAAATAATCATGTTCACTAGAAATTGCTACTTTTCCGAAAACAGCAAGTGCCACACGGAGAATTATCCTGTATAAAATATAAAGAAGCGGTCAATTTGCCTAAAGTTCTAAGTTCTAAAACATGAACATTATTAAAACCCTCTAGACGACTTGGAGGCTTTGAATCTTGACGTTATGCAAAATGTTTAGGACTTTAGCCTTTTAGTGGTTGACACTTATGTTCTAAAATGCGGCCGCAAAAACGATAGAAAAGAGTTTGGCGGTAAAGAACTGTGGCGATTTTGCGATAATTGGTTGAAAACTCATAATTTTGTTTGTTTTCAATTAGAAATCGATTAATATGTATAAATCGATCTATCAATTAAGAGCTAAAAATGTAAAGAAAAACGGAAATAAATTATGTGAATAGTAGATAATTGCCACCGGCTGCAATTTAGGGTTTTGTAGAATCCTTGTGAAGAAGACGAAGTGGTAATTACCAATATATCATTCATTAAACGAATATAGAAAAACAAACAATATAACATTCCACTTATGGGTATTAAAAACAATCGAAGACCAGTCGGGATTTATTTAGGGTAATAAAACCTTGTTACACAAATTAGTAGAGTGTTCACTGCACCCAATTGCGTTTTTGGAAATATATGTACTCTAATAAAATAAATACTCCTAAATATATCAGGATTGGTCTTCGATTAATCTTCGTTTAATTGATTATGCGGTAGACGGATCTTGAGCACACGATTAATGCCTAAAGTATTTTTGACCACATGTTGACACAGATCATATGGAATGGGAGAAATCAAAATCAATGATAAAGCTTCAATGTTTGTGCATAAACCCCCTCTATTTATTCTTATAAATCTATCCATCACCTTCTAATAACTAATTATGATAATGGTTAAAAATAATCATGTTCACTAGAAATTGCTACTTTTCCGAAAACACCAAGTGCCACACGGAGAATTATTCTGTATAAAATATAAAGAAGCGATCAATTTGCCTAAAGTTCTAAGTTCTAAAACATGAACGTTATTAAAACCCTATAGACGACTTGGAGGCTTTGAATCTTCACGATATGCAAGGTGTTTAGGCCTTTTAGTGGTTGACACTTACGTTTTGTAATCATGGCCGCAAAAATGGTAGAAAAGTGTTTGGCAGTCAAGAACCATGGCGATTTCGCAATAATCGGTTGAAAAATCATAAATTTTGAAAAAGAAACTCATATTTTTGTTTGTTTTAAGTTAGGAATCGATTAATATGTATAATTGGATCTATCAATTAAGAGATAAAAATGTCAAGAAAAAAACTGAAAGAATTTATGTAGATAGTACGTAAAAAAAAAGAATTGGCGGCTGCGTTTTAGGGTTTTTGCACGACCCTTGTGAAGAAGACGAAGTCGTAATTGTCAATATATAATTCATTAAACAAAAATAGAAAAAAAATAACAACATAACATTCCGCTTCTGGGTATAAAAAACAATCAAAGACCAACTGAGATTTGTTTTAGTGTATTAAACCCTTGTTACACAAATTAATAAATTGCACCAAATTGTGTTTTTGGTAATATATTTACTATAATATATATAAAACTAAAATAAAATAAATTCTGATAGGTTTTTGATTAATCTTTGTTTGATTGATTAGGCGCTACACAGATCTTGAGCGTCTGGTTAAAACAAAATTCGTCTAGGAATCCACAAAAGACACCATCCTAACGTATTTTTGAACACAGATTGACACATGCAAGATGGAATGGGAGAAATCAAAATCTATATATATAAAGTTGATGCAATTCTATTCTGGTGTTGCCATCTCAGCAAAATTGGGTGCCTCTAAATTCAGCTTTATTCCACATCAGCACTTAATTTAATTATTATATTTTCTCTTTTTAATATTTTAATTTCATAATAATTAGCATTCATTACTACAACAAGTTTAACAAGAATATGAAAAATTATTTTTAAAAAAGGTGAAAGATTATGTATAAATCTACAAAAAAACTATTATTTAGTAAATTTATTTTAGCCTACTTCAAATTATATTAAATGACGAGATGAGATGTAAAGGAACGGAAAGGAATGGGATACTACATAATTTTCCCTACTTCAAATTATATTTAAAGACGGAATAGTAAAAAACGAAAGGAACATGATGAGACAGGACAAGGCGGAAAGAAACATAACGAAACAGGATAAGACTAGACGGGACGAGACAGACAAATTAGACATTACGAGATTAAAAAACGGACTGAGACGGGATTGGGTGGGACAGGATGAAAGGGACATAATTGGACGAGAAGGGACGGGACATAAAATTCATTTACCCCTAAATATATTTAGGGACAGGACAGAGACACGACAAACCGGAAAAAAAAAAACATAACAAGATAGGATGGGACTCGATAGGGCGGACATGACGGGAAAGAACGGGACAAGATGAGAAGGAATGAAATGGGATAAGATGGGGCTATACATGAATGTTGTCTGTCCTTAGTTATATTTAGGGAACGGGACGAGAAGAAACAGAAGGAACATGATGGGACATAACAAAATGGAAAGGAACATAATGGAATAGGATGGGACGGGACGGGATAGACAGGACGGATGTGATGGGAAAGAACATGCATGATGAAAATGAACGAAATGGGATACAATGGGACAAAACGGTACGTTAATGTTTCCTAACCTTAATTATATTTAATTAATATCTGTAATATTTTTGAAACAATAATAAACCACATAAATAAATTAAATTTGCGAAAAAACAATAAAAATAGACAATAATACATATTCCCGCGCGAAGCGCGGATCACTTCCTAGTCAATGATAAAGTCTCAACGTTTGTGCATAAACCCTTCAATTTTATTCTTATAAACCAATCGATAACTCATTATTACAATGGTTAAAAATAATCATGTTCACTAGAAATTGCTACTTTTGAGAAAACAGCAACTGCAACCCACATAGAGAATTATCCTGCAAATAAAATAAAGAAGCAATTAATTTGTCAAAAGTTCTAAGTTCTAAAACATGAATGTTATTAAAATCCCCTAGACGACTTGGGGGCTTTGAATCTTGACGATATGGAAGGTGTTTAGGCTTTTTATTGCTTGACACTTATGTTCTAAAACGCGGCAAAAAACAGTAAAAAAGCATTTGTCGGTTAAGAACCATGGCGATTTTGCAATAATCGGTTGAAAACTCACAAATATGGAAAAACAACTCATCCATTTGTTTGTTTTCAGTTAGGAATTGATTATTATGTATAATTGGATCTATCAGTTAAGAGCTACAAATGAAAATGATGTTTGGTTAACATCAATAATACATGAGATTAGATAATAATACATGAGATTTGAAGTTTAAAAAAAAATGTAAAGAAAAACGGAAATAAATTATGTAAATAGTAAAATGTCGGTGGTGCGTGTTAGGGTTTTTATACAACCCTTGTAAATTACCAATTATCATTCATTAAACTAAAATGAAAGATAAAAAAACATAACATTCCGCTTAGTGGGTATTAAACCCTTGTTACACAAATTAATAAAGTGTCTATTGCACCAAATTGTGTTTTTGGTAATATATTTACTATAATGTATATTAATCTAATATAAAATAAATATTTTAAAATAAATCCAGTTTGTTCTTCGATTAATCTTCTTTTAATTGATTAAGCGGTAGACGGATTTTGAGGGCCCGATTAATGCCTAACGTATTCTTGAACACACAAATTGACATAGATCAGATGGAATGGGAGAAATTAAAATCAATTATAAAGCTTCAACATTTGTGCATGGAACCCCTCAATATATTCTTATAAATTAATCCATCACCTTCCAATAATTAATTATGACTATGATTAAAAATAATCATGTTCACTAGAAATTGCTACTTTCCGTGATTGAAGGACTTTTTGTAAGTGATTTCAATTTGCAGAACTTAGTTAACGCCTAAATTCTGAATCCTTGTTTCCAGAATTAAAATATGAAATCGACAATATACAATGATTGATTGGTTTGTTTAATGTTTACCACCGAAAACTAGTCAAACGTTTTTTCTTTTCCTTCTAAGACTTTTGACCACCACTAAATATTTTGTTTTACAAAAATGATACAAGTTCGACGCATCCTAAAAACATTCAAATAATAGACAAAAAAAATCAAAGTTAAAAGAGCTTTACATTAAAACTACAGAACATAGACAAAATGATTACCCTCCTAAGCCAGCAAGTCATAAAAAATGAAGACAGTTCTAATATAAAAATGTACACAACCCAGATCGATGATTTTCAAGGATAACTCAAAACAAATCGTTTCAAAACCGTACAGAAACTTAATCAATATATGTAAGAAGCCTGAAACAAAGTGAAACCAAACCAATTTTATTTTGTCAAACTAACGATTGATTTGACTAAAACAATCCAACCCAAAAATATAGTTCATATCAAAACTTCATTTCATTTCCGTTTACTTTTCTTTTCCGATCAAAACTCAAATGTAAACTAAAAAACAGAAACATAAAAAAACGAAAGTCCAAATAAAATATCATATATAACACAAACCATATACATGCAAATGAGTTACCATTTGCTTCTGGTCATGCTTGGCTCCTTGTACGCCACACGCAGCCGATTTTTTTGAATAAAATTGGTATCCACTTGTGGCATACAGGGAGCCAGGCATGACGACAAATCAATAGATATGTATAATACGAAACCTCTAAGCATCTTTATACGTGGATCTTATAGCTTCAATCGAATCAGCATCTTTGTTTATTACTGTTGGGAAGAGAAAATGAAAGTAGAGACTAGAGAGATATTGGAGATTTTTGGTTGAAGAGGAATTTATGGTACACATATATAAAGGAGAACGAAAGGGAAACTAATTATGGTATTGCCAAATTAAAAGTAATTCAAAAGCATATGAACAAAGTTAGGTTTCCATTTTTTTATTTAAAAGAAATCAATGTTAAGATAGATGAATAAAATAGTTAAAATACGACCCATTTACTCACTTTCCTTAAAGACTAGTCTTTTCCCACAGTTTGTTATTTATTGAGGATTAAATTTTCCAAAGAATATTGTTTTACAGCACAATAAAAAAAGGAACATAATGAACATTATAATATCTAATCCTTGTTCAACATTTTAAATATTACTCTAATACAATATAAGATCTATAAATAATACTCGATAAATTAATACCACAATATAAGTAATATTAAATTTAGAGTTTAATATCAATACAAACTAACTAAATTGAATCAATTTGTCTGAATTGATGCCAAACTAATTAAATATAACAACAATTATTAAAATTGATACTAAGTTAAGTATATTTGTTTCATTTGTATATAAGTGATGTAAAACAGTATCACTCAGTTTTGTGATACAAATTAAGTGATACAATACACATTTTTTTTTGTAGTGAATTTTCCAGTCATAAATTAAAATTTTGATTCAATATATCTCACTAAAATAATAAAATATCATGATTTCTTATTTACTTTATAGAGGTTTTACTGTATATATTTATATATTGTAATATGGAATCAAAAAATAGATTGTTTTATTAAAGATAATGGAGTAAATATTATTACGCAGCATGCAAACCTGCCGGGTTACTTTTGATTCTTTTTTTTTTTTGGGAGAAAACACTTAATTTCATTAGGAAAGTTAAGACGGTTCGATACAAAGGTTACATAGAGCATTCTTTGCCAGAGAATCAGCTCGGCGATTTGCTTCTCTAGAAACATGAACAAAGGAAATTGAAACGAAATCTAGTGATAGGGCCATGATGTCGTGGAGAATCCCATGGAGTTCTTTTGAGAAAGCCTCCTTGTTGATTGCTTTGATTAGCTGTAGTGAATCTGAAGCGACTGTGAGTGTGAGTGTGAGTGTGGTGATGCCGAGAGATCTCGGCTCGTGCGAGAGCAATTATGATTGCTAATCCCTCAGCCATGAGCGGCGATCTGATGTGGGTCTTTGCGTCTTCTCCTTGATGTGTGGGTTCCTCTCTCGTGTTCCCCGGATCCGTGGTATAAATTTCCCATCCAAACCCCGCGGCTTTTTTATCCGCTTTACATGCCGCGTCGACTTTGCATGTTGTCGGAGATCAGCTCTGGTTCTGTCTATGTCCTCGGAGAGTTGTTTCCCCAAGTTGTTTCTTCATCTCTTTCTTATTTTGTGCGCTTTGCCATTATTTAACATACACCACCGCCTGAATGAGTGTGTCTTCTTGTGATTGTCGGATGTTACTGAATACCAATTGATTCCTTGCAATCCAAATGGCCCACACAATCCATGGCAAGATGGGTCTCTCTCCGATTCCTGTAGGTGGTAAGTAGACCATTTGGTGTGATAATTCAAGCCCTTCTTTGATTCCCTCAATTCTCAGTGGGTCAATTTGATCTTTGCATGGAACTTTTCGCCAAATTTGAGCTGGGAACGTGCAGTGGAATAGTAAGTGGGAAGTAGTCTCTTCTACTCAACAATGTGGGCACCTAACTGTCTGAGTGATGTTCCTCGCCTTTAGATTCTCTCCCACCGATAACGCCCCATTCTTAGCATTCCACAGGAACATCTTTGTCTTCGGAGATGTGTGGGTATTCCAAATGTTCTTGATCCAGTCAAATGTATGAATCTGATTCTCGCTTTCCTTCCGATGCATTTACTTTCAGGGACTCATAATACCCTGATTTTTCTGTATACACTCCAAAATCTAATGGGGTCAAGATGAACTTATCATGTGCTCCTTGTTTGCTCGGCTGGAGCTCCAATATCTCTGCTTCAAAATCAGGTAAGATGGCTTTAATTTTCTCTCTGTCTCAGGTGTGTGTGTTAGGAGATATCAACTCTGCCACTAACATATCTGCTTCTTCCTCCTTTGTAGGTCCCAAGAGGCTGAGCTCTCTATCCAGAGACAACCACGGTTCATGCCACACCCTAGTTGTACAACCATCTCCTATGGCCTTGCCAATATATGGTTTGAGTAAGTCTCGTCCAATGAGTATACTTTGAAGGTGGCCTATTGATTCTCTACCCATGGGATGCTGTATTTGGTATCTCACAGTCGAAAAATGGTTTGTCTTGGCAGTACTTAGTCAGCAGAACCCTTACAAGGAGGCAAGATGGTTGCGTCAGGATTCTTCAACTCACTTTCGCCAGCAAAGCATTGTTGAAACTCTGTAAGTCTCTGAAGCCCAAACCTCCATTATTTTTGGACTTAGTAAGGTTTTTCCATGCGATCCAGCACATCTTACGTTTTTCATCATTCTTGTCCCACCAGAATCTTGTTAAAGCAGATTGAATTCTCTTTGTGAGTGAGACCGGTAGTTTGAAGCACATCATGGTATACGTTGGCGTAGCTGCCAAGACTGACTTGAGCATGGTCATCTTTCCCGCAGGCGACAAATGTTTTGTGGACCAACTTTGTGCTTTCTGCTTTACTCTGTCGACTATTTGACTGAACAGGTTTTTTTTTCGTGCTGCCAAAATGCTCAGGTAAGCCCAAGTATTCCCCGGTACCTTCTTCTTGTTGAATCCCCAAAGCATTCTTTACTTGTTGCTTCACTGAGCTTATAGTCTTTGCTGAGAAGGTGATTGCTGACTTTTGTCTATTTATTTTTTGACCAAATGCTGACTCATATTTCTGAAGGATAGAGATAAGTTCCTTACAGCTTTTGGGGTCCGACTTGCAGAATATCATCATATCGTCTGCAAAGAGTAGGTGGTTTACTCTCGGACTTTTCTTTGATACTCATATCCCCGGCAATCTCCCCTCCAATTGTGCTATGTTACACAGACCTGAGAGAACCTCACTACAGAGGATAAAAATGTATGGGGAGAGTGGGTCTCCTTGGCGAATTCCCCGCGATGGTGTGACCGCTCCTTGTGCAGATCCATTGATAAGGTATGTATATGAAACCGTTGAGATACACTGCATCACCCATTGGACCCATTTTTGATGGAATCCCAATCGTTCTAACACCAGTTTGACAAAATCCCATTCAATTCTATCATACGCTTTCGTCATATCGGATTTGACAGCCATGTACACTTGTTTTTTGGCCTTTGACGTCTTCAGGTAGTGTAATGTCTCATGCGTAATGAGGACATTGTCAGAGATGGCTCGTTGTGGGACAAACGCGGACTGGTTCTCCGAGATCATGTCGCGTAGAACTGGTTGTAGTCTCAAGGTAAGGATCTTGGAGATCATTTTAAAATAGACATTGCACAGAGCTATTGGTCTATAATCCGCAACCCTTTTTGGACTTGTTATCTTGGGAATGAGCCTGACATGTGTGGCACTGATGTTTCTTGGCAGGATGCCCGTTGAGATGAAGGCTATCTCGGATATGATCTTGGGGCTCACTGTATCCCGGTTTTCTTGGAAGAAACCCGCTGAGAAACCATCCGGTCATGGAGCTTTGTCTGGATTTATTGCAAAGCATGTCTGTTTGATCTCCTCAGGTGTAGGGATTGAGATCAGCTTGTCATTGACTTCCGTAGTTATTCGTGGTTAAAGAGCTTTGAAGACCGTTTCGTTCCTTTCTCCATCTTCAGTTGTGAAGAGCTTCTGGTAAATTCTGTGATGATTTTTGTGATTTGGCTTTCTTCGTGAAACACATTTCCATTTTCATCTTCCATCACTGAAAATTTATTTATTGCTTTTCTCCCATTTGTTGCTGCGTGGAAGTAGCTTGTGTTCTTATCTCCGAGGGCTAACCATATTTGTCTACTTCTTTGCTTTCAGAAAGCTTCTTCCTCCTTGTATGCGGCATTGAGATTTCTGTTTATTTCTTCAATGAAACCTGGGCTGCTTTGGTCATTAGTCATTGCTTCCTCCAACCTCGCCTGAAGCTTTTTGATCTCTTCTTGAATAATGATTTGTTTCCTTTTATTCCAGCGGATGATTTATTTTCTGCATCTACTTATCTTTTCCTCTGCCGTTTCTGTTTCATTTGCTTTCCAAGCTATGAAGATAAGTTTTTGTACCTCTACGTTGTTCTTTAGGCACCGATCATACCGGAAGAGACCTCTTTTTCTTTTCTTCGTTGGGTCGAAGTTGGTGACGATGGGCCTGTGATCAGATCTTCAAAACGTAAGTACTCACTTCTTCCGGAAGGATATTCCTCTGCCCATGCGCTATTTGTCATTGATTTATCCAATCTACATCTGACCAAGTGCTCATTTCTTTTCCCTCTCGAGGACAAATAGTTTCCCGAGTAGCGAAGGTCATAGAGGTCACATTCCGAAATGAAGGTTCGGAAATGCGTGAAGGAGCTCTCTGGACGTTGCGGTCCTCTAGTTTTCTCGCCTGCTTCAATAATTTCATTAAAGTCACATGTTAGTAGTCATGGCTCCGTTCTATCATTGGTCTGATCTTTCAGGTTTTGCCATACTTCTTATCATTTAGTTTGATCTGGTTCTTGATGATAGGATTTGTGTCTGATGTGATAATATGAAATGATATGAGGTGGAATGCAACAATGTTAAATGAAGATGAGATAGTATGGTGCAAACACAATCATAATCAATCAATTCCCCTTAACCATCTGGAGATCCATTACCCACACCCTAATTTTAGAAGAAACATTAATATAATATTTATGAAGTGAGAAAGTATTCTTTACTTTGATCTCTAAACAGAAATTTACTTCTTTTTTAACTTCAGTTAGATTAATCTAACATGTATACCATAAAAAAAATCCCATGTCATGAATATACATATGTCTTTTTGTATATTAATTTTTGTATTAATTTGTGAGAAAACCACTTATTGATGAATGATGAACAAAATCTTTTTCTAAAAGGCAAAATCTTACTAGATAAGGAAGGAAGAGTACTATTTTGTAGTTTTTTTTACCCTTATTTAATTTCTATTTTGAGATTAGACAGACGTCGATGATATATCTAAGTAACAGAGACGTGATGGTTTGGAGTTTGGACTCAATGGATTAAACCGGCCCATTTCGAACGAACAAAACCGGGCCGAGATGGGCTAGTTTAACCGGAAACTCCGGCGAGTAAACGGACTTTTTTAACCCTCACCGGGAAAAAAACAGAAAACAATGGTCTGTGTTGAAACAGATGGAATCGAGAGTTAGCTAATCTCTCTCCCTCGCATTATATGTTTCACGATTTGAAAATCAATCAATGGGAAGCAAACGCCGGAGATCGGTAACAGCCGTGATTCTCATCTTCTGCGCCATCTCTTGCTTGAAATCTGTCTCATCTGGTCAGGTTAGTGATTTTGATTCGTGATTCCGCGAGATCGAAGTTCCATCAAAATCAACTAGGAAACCTGGCAAATGATTTTGATTGCAGGTTGGAACAAATTCCGATCATATTCCTCCGTTGTTGTGTATCCACGATCAATACATTATGCAGTCTTATTCCACTAGACACACTTGCTTAAACGACTCTGAGTTTCGAAACTATCTGCTTAGTCAACAATGTTCCCATAAAGATCCAAACATTGTTCCTCCTGTATCATCATTGCTACAAGGCACAAGAAACATAACTGGTCAAGGCTCACATCGTAATCTTCTCACATCCATCAATCTTCTTCGTCTTCCTCACTCACAACAATCTCATCTTAACGAGCTCGTGATTGTTGAACGCTTGCCTTTGGGAGTTTTCGCTGATCCTTTTGAGCTTCAGAGTCTCCAGCAACGAAGAGGTTAGCGAGATTCATAAGAAGATAAATCAGATTAAAAGCTTTTCTCTCTTTTTTATGGAGCTTGAATCTTTTTTGCAGCTTTCAAAGACGTGTCTGTGTTTGGAGACACGAATCTTGAGCTGCCTTCGTTCAGATCAAACAGGTCTGTCGTTGAGATTCATGTAGAAATCAGTTCTAGAGATTATGAGAATGGTGAAATCAGCTTGAACCTTCCTTTGCATGCTCGGTATCAGGTAATGATCAGAATCTTGCTTTGATCACAACAAGCATGGATCTTTAATTTCTATTTCTTCATCTGCAGTCTCTGGAAGAGAGTGGATACTCTAGAGTGGTGTTTGGAGAGCCAGACTTGTTCCTATGCTCGAGCTACGTACCAAACCAGGAGCAAGAACAGAGAACGTGTTTGGTTTTGTCGATAGGCGGATTCAAGACTGAAGAAGAAAGCAGATCTCTTGTCTGGGAAATCCCTGCCGGAATCAGAGATCATACCGAGTATGTTTCTGCTTTTACATTCGCAGCAGCAGTTTTATCAGCAATTTCGATCCTCTTAGCATCGGTTTTTAGCTCAAAGGTTGAATCTTGCAAGAACTCAAAGCAGTCATGACTCAGCTTTGGCTCAAACCTTTTTGTGACAGTCATGAGAGCTCTCTCTCTTGATGACCAAGTTTAACAGATTTTTAATTTTTAATCAGCTCCAATCAAAGGCAAATACCAAATTTCTTTGTTTCCTTTCAAACATTTGAGGAGAAACACATGCAACAGAGAGTTTCACTCATCTCCAACAAGAAGTTTGCACAAAAAAAAAAAAGCCACACACAAACACTGTCTATTACATAACCAATAGACCCTCAAACCGAACCAAATCAAACCAAACCAACCCAAACCAATTCAAAACAAACTTCAAGTGTTGTGTTCACATTATATATGTTATATACCAAAGTAGCTCCTTTTTCACTCATTGAAGCTTTAAAGATCCATGAACACACTCAAAAAAGGACTTGTTTCTTGCTTTGCGAAATCAAGCTGCAAGTACTATAATCACGATCAGGAGTACAATGCCAAATATCACCAAGAGCAAACATGTCTGCAAAGTAAATCAAGATCAAGAAAATTAGAGTGTAGCCTAAAAAAAACCATTCATCAACCATTACTAGTCTATATCAAGTTTCAAGTGTATTTACCAGAGATGAGTTTGATTTTTGTGTTTTGGCGGCTTGTGCGAGCTGGGACTTCCCTTGTGAAGTTGCAGCACGGGAGTTATCAATGTGAGTGCCGATATCATCTACGAGATTAGAGAAAGTTTTGAGTTTCTATTTCAATCATAGTTAGATTTTTAGTTAAAGAGTTTATAGATTTTCTCTTCACCTATCATGATTCCTTGATCGTTAACAAGAACCGCAAGATCTTTGAATATCTCATTAACCTCGCCGATTTGAGAATGGATTTCTTGTATTCCTTGCTCTCTCTCCTCGATCACAGCCTCGTTGAACGCAATCTCGTTGTCTAACAATACAAGCTCCTGTCTGCAAGCAACAACCAAAACAAGAACATTATAATATAAGAGTTACATCACAAAAATGGAAACATAATTTTTTTTTTTTTTTTACCTTCTTGACTCCACAACCTGAGCTCTCTGTTCTGGGACCTTATCCACCTCACTCGCTGTATCTCTATATACAAAAACAATTCACAAAAAGTGATGCTTGTGCTTTAAGATGCTAATTCAAGAAGGTGAAGGATTCTTGATACCTAGGAGGAAGAGAGGATTGAGGAACGAAAGGAGTATAAGCGGTTTCTCTTTCAGCTGCGGTTTGTTGAGCTTTCTGAAACTCTTTTAGTACAGCTTGAAAGTCCTTTGCAAGCTTTGCATCTGCAATCTTCTTGCTTGGCTACAACAACACAACACAGAACAACAATCAACCAATCAATCATCAAAACTCGTACAAAAACATGAGCAAGATTCCATATTTTCACTTTACATTGACACCACTTTGATGATCAGTTTCACTAGCTTCTTTAAGCTTAGCAGAAGTATCCTTGACAAGCTGTCCAATATGCAATCGTGTCTTGTGCCTGCGCCGCAATTTATATATCAGAACCAAGATTCAATCGAATCGAGTTTCTGAGCAAATGAATCAACTTACAGCTTCTCCCGGAGCTCCGGTGTATCTTTGGGAGTTCCTAGTGTGTTAACGAGTCGCTGAAATGTCGAAACTCCGGTGTTGATCTGGAAAATGCCGGAGGCGACGGCTTGCGTCGAATCTTGCCGGCCACCGTTGAATTTCCTCGATCTTCCTTTTCCAGCTTCTATATCTTGAAAACTCATTTTCGTTTTCCCACAAAACTTTCTTGAAGAATACCACCAAGGATTAAAGAATCTTTCTTGTTTTCCCGGGATCGGAGTCCGATCTACGAATGGAAGGAGAAATTAGTTATCGGAATTTTCCTGATTTGGTGAGGGGAAAAATAATCCGGTGAAGGGCGTGAATCGTGGAGACAGAGAGACAGATATTGAAAAGCGTTAAAATAAAATAAATAATAACTGATTAAAGAGATAAAAACAGAAAGTTGTTTCCTTCTTGATCCTTTATTTTAGATATATTTTCAGAATCTCTCCTCGGTTTACAAATTATTTTAGACTAGTATTTTGCCATGCATGGACATAGACCTTTATTCTGATAATTTTCTTTATTACGCTCATTTGAATTTGTAACAAATAATTTTATAAACAATAGATAAAATTATCTCTTTTTAGCGACATATCTCTTTTAACAATGGAATAGCTATAAAAAGTGCCGTGTGATTCTGTTTTTAGAAATTGTAAACTGAAACAAAAAGAATGCAAGATAGATAAACTCTCTGCATGAAAAAACGCATAAACTGAACAAAAGATTGATCCTTTATCCTCAAATGCATAAACGCAAAAACCAAAGAAGATCATGACTAAAAGATTGATCCTTTATCCTCAACAAAGATAGATCCTTTCCCTGAATACAAATGTACCTGCAGATGCAAGAGAGGACGATAGAATAAGAGTAATGATGCGATGATCCATCAAAACTCTGAAATAAAATGAGCTATCAAATGCTTCATTTCTATTAACATATGTTACTGTATTTATTTACTATACAATTGCGATCAACTTAAGTTATCAATCAATATCTCAGACACAAATAGAAATAGGAACTTGCAGCCAAACAGCCATCTTATCAAATCCGAACCAGCATATTTCAATTAAGCTTCTCAATTCTAGACCTATCAAACTAAACCAGTCAGCATACCACCAAACAGACAACATAACACATTCTTCTCAATCTATCGAACCTATTGAAAAATTCTAGCTCTTGTTCTGTCCGAGATTGGATAACTGAAACATTACCATAGAGGTAGAGATGAAGCCAAAATGGTAGACCTCTGTTTAAACATGACCCTTGTCTGAAATCAGCTTTTGTCGCATAAATCAACCTGAACGAAACTTCTGCTCCTCTGCTACTCTTGTTTTGACTTCAAAATCAGGGACTTGAAAAGCAAAGAGGACATATCGGAAAGGCGAAGACTGAATGGTCATTGCAGGATCTACTGTACAGATGCATCTTGAAGATCAATCCATTTGCATTTGGAGACAGAGCTCGACCATATTCTTTCGACAATGCTTCCATTTTACTACTCAATGTATCTCTGCAGCAAATAACATCAACAATCAAGAACATGCAAAAATCAAGAAGATCATGCAATTTTACAGCGGATTGTTTGTCACTTACATTGTCATTTTGTTCCTAAGAACATTTTGATCAGCTAGAGTGTTATTAGGATTGACCAAGAAGCTAGCTTCTCCATTTTCCGAATCCCTTTTACACAAACCTCCTCGGAAACTACACCATCATCGAATTTCTCAAGCTCTCTTCTTAAAACAGAAGCTTTCTTGTCAAAAATTATGTCTGTTGTTTCTAGCATCAGTGTCTTTAACCTTTGGAGACTTTAACTCATTCAGTTTCTCAATCAAATAGCTTATCTCATCTTCCAAAACCTTGCTCTCTTTCCTCCCTTCTGAGATTCTATGTTTCCCCTAAAATCAAACAACCAACATAGACCAACAGCTTCAAAACTCAAAAACATTCACATTCACAAAACCAATCAAATTGAAGAAAAAAAAGGAAGATTTTTGACTTACAGAGAGAAGAGTAAGAACAGCAAATCTAAGCGTCTTCTCCATTCGTTTCTTCTTCCTCTCCATATTCTTCATAGCAATCTCTTTTTATTCTTAACAAACTACACTCTGATATCATGGTTTTCGTCCCTTCACTGCAGACTTCTTCTCGCTGGCAGGCGCCGACGTGCTGATTTCCTCCACGCCAGTAGCATTCTTTTGCTCAATCGCTGGGGAAGTCATCAGAAAGTTGATTTCAAGATCTGAATTTGATCGCTATAAACCGGAAATGTAAACGTTTCAAGCACCAAACAAATTTCTTATTCATTGTCTAAATCCTTCAATCTGAGAAGCATAACAGCACCAAGCATTCCAGAATTAGAATCAAAATCAATTACGATATTTCGTTCTGAGATTGAAGTAAAGTTATCAATCAACAGAGAAAGGAAAAAAAAAAACCATAATGTAGAATTACCTGATTTAAGAAGAAGAGATGAATTTGAAGATCTAGATAAATAAAACACAGTGGTTCAAGATGAATGGATTTAGGTGGTTTAGTTTATCTCTGCAGATGTGAAAGATTTATGGTAAAAGTGGATTTTAGAGTTTGAAGTGGTGATGTAGCGGTTTTGGGACAGATCGTGGTTTCAGGTTTCAGTGGAAGAGAAAAGGAAATTTTAGAAAAAAATTGAAAAAAGCAACGAAAAAAACAAAAATTAGAAAATTAAAAGAAAAAAAAAAAGAAAAATGCAGAGGACACGTGTCAATTAGATAGGCCATGAGGTGACTTCTGATTTATTAGTATTAGATTAATTCGATAAAAAAAAACAACTTTTTATTTATTTTTATCGAATTAATCCCAAAAAAAGTTGAGAATAATAAGCAAAACATTTAGTAGTTCTATAGCAGAGTTGACAGTTTTTTATAAATTTCATTTTATAAATTTATAAGCGTTATAAAAAATATTACTCCCTCCGTTTCTTTATAATAAAATTTCTAGCAATTTTCTGTTATTTCATAAAGATAAACTTTCTACCTTTTTGATGCACTTTTTTATATTTTAAGAAACATTTATTAAGAATAACTATATTTCTTAGATTTTATTGGTTTAAACTTACTATAAATTTAATAAAACTATACCAAATTTTAAACTTAATTAATTTGATTTAACTATAAGTATTCTATTTAATTTTAGATATCATTTTTAATACTATTAATCTACAATTTCTAGTTGTATTGTTATTTTAATTATGAAAATTTAAAAAGTAATTAATCTACAATGTTTAGTTGTATAGTGATTTTAATTATGAAATTTTAAAAAGTAATGATATATAACTATCGGCTCTTATCCACACTATTACATGGTTTTAAATTTTATAAGTATACTTAGAATACTATTTTTCCATGCATGAACTATCTTTACTTGATCTTTAACCATTATAATTCTATCATTTATATGTAATGTTCTCGCATAATTTTATATATAAGCAAATGAACAAAATTTTACGCATAAATTTGTATATAGATTTCATAAATACTTAGTTATTAATGTTTTTCTTTGGATCTTCAAACACTAATTTTTTATTTTTAGTGAGAATTATTATTTGAACATGAGAAACTGAAGAGGTACTTTGAATGCAAAAACTGAAAAGTCACAAAACAGTTTAGTTTTTTTTTATTTGTTAGGTGTCATGTGTCAGCACCACAGCAAACCAAAATGCTGATGTGTCAAGCTGTGGGAGAGAGATATCCTCTCTTTATATATAAGATAGGAAATAGTGTAATTGTAAAAATGTATACGCTTGTGATATCTTTAAGGAACGGAGAAAGTATAATTTTTGGATTGTTGCAAATGTCTATATTTTATATCAATGATTAACACATTAAATAATAATGTACAATACAGCAGCTCTACTATTTAATTAAACTATTTATTTTAGCTGGAGACAAAGCCGTTCCTGAGATTTCATGAGCACAACTTGAAAAAAAGTTTGGGCCACTAAATATTGATATTTACAAAGAAAGAAAATGAAAGGAATGTTGTGGATGTGCATCGAACTTCCGACATTAAGTTAAGATTTATAATAAACCCGTGATCAATCATTCTAAAGACATTTTTCGGTAAAATGAGGGCCAAAAGCTAGCTAAAGAGTAGAGAATTGACACATATGACATATTATATATATAATATATATTGTTCACAAATCTCATCACAAACTTCCGATTCTAGACAATTCTAACACACCTCCCTCACGCTTATGATGGGACATCTGAAGCGTGAGGTTTGTGGGACTGAATATCCACATGTGTGAGCCCAATCGAGAAATTTGGGTATAACCTGGAATCTGAAACCATATTAGTAATAGCTTTAAGCTTGACCTTTTTTCTCCAGTTCCTACGTGTGAAGTCTAGTGAGCTCTAAGCTTTCAGGAAGCAACAATTGTTGATTCCTTGGTCACAGTCACAATGTCACCAGATTATCAACTACCTCCTGATGCTTTAACATCCACTGTAGGCTCCTTAAATCCACATTTCTCTAATTTCGATACTCTCTTCATGTGTGATCATTTCTCTGTTTTGTTTACTCAGAAATCATCAAAAGAGAGCAACAAATCATCATCTCAGAAAAGCTGAAGATGTCGTAAGCAATATGATTTCAGAAGGTTTGATTTCAGAAGGGTTTATTCCTCGGGAAAGATGTGATAGCCAAAGCAAAAAAGTCTCGATGAGAAGCATCAGCTAACATCAATAACTTCAGCTAAAGTCACATACTTGTTCGAAATTGAAGTTCGTTTGAATGAGAAATACTTGTCCAAAGTTTGTTGCTAAAAATGCACAAAATGGACTAGTGGATATTATGGAAAAGTGGTAACAAGGTTAGAGACCTTGGGAAAATTAGAGAGAAATATGAACCACACTAAATCACATGTGCGCACACCGAGATGAGTCGGAACAGACTCGGGCTCGGGTTTGGGTTTAGGTGTGGGTTTGGGATTAAACGGGCCTCGGTCCAGTAATCCATCCTTTTATATCAAGTTTTTATTTGTGTAACTGATCACTACATAAATTTTAATTTGATAAAAGGTGAACAATTCTCAGAATTAATAGAGAATGAATCTTGGTCAACAAAAAATAATTCTCCTAAAGAATAAGTTTTGGTCAAGAAGTTGAAAAATCTCTCTTAAAGTTTTGTGATTAATTTCATGGTTAATGCCATAATTAATACAATAACTAAATCTCACTATGACCAAAAACGTTTTTGGCTTGTATAAAAGTGAGACTAATGTCTCGTGGTCTCATTGATTCATATAGACAACAATTCCACATCCCCTTCATCTCTCTTTCTTTCTTTTATTTTCCTCTTGTTTTTTCCTATGAGAGTATAACACAGAAAACATGGTTCGCAAGCTTATGATTTGAGTGATGCAAATCATAAGAAGTATGCAGTTGTATCTTGGGATTCGGAACGCCATGCAACCGTCCACACTACAGGGCGTTTACAGAATTAAGGAAAAAGATAATATCTTGCCTCTGCAAATCTGTTTTTTCCTAAATTCTTATTCTTGGTATCATCTTAATATTATGTTTATATATTTATTCATATATTTTACTTTACAAATATCAGTTTGCCCTATTGTAAATTTGTGTTCTTACAATACTTTGATAAAAGAATCTGACAAAATCAACACTGGAACGACGGTTGTGAGCAAAAAAAGTAAAAGAAGTTGATCATAAGTTTCAAGTGACTGAGCAATTGCTGCAGCTAAGGAAACAGTGAGCAATGTTGGTTCGACCATAATGAAAATCCAGTATGTTTTAACTGGTACTATGTGGTTGCTGCCTTGCTGGTACGTTTAACAAAGTGACTAAAGCTGCAAAAGAAGTTGGAGAGAAGGCTAAAGAGAAATTTGGAATGGCTGATGAAGAAAAAGAAGTAAGAAGAAGCACGTGGTTGATGAATATTCAAAACTCTCTAAAAACAGCAAAGGCTTTTTACCAATCAGGAGAAAGGGGTTGAAGAAGATTCAAAACATTCTAAATCTCCAAAGGCTTTAGACCAATCAAAGGAGGATTCAAAACTCTTTGAATAGCAACTGTAACCACAACAACAACATGAGTCTACTCTGATTGTTGCTTCAGGACAACCTTCAGATACATATAAAGAACAGTTCTCCATTTTTGGAGCATACAGAGAAGGACAAAGCTTACTTGTTCCAAAACATTGGGTTAAAATTATTTCATGTTGTTGTTTGTCATATATCTCTCTTCTTAGAATTTGGTGAAGAAAATATCGACGATTAATGGTTAACGTGGTTTTTGTTTAATTTCATTTGGATGGCTACAAGTATTACTAGGTAATCTATCTATACTATTAAAGGAGAGGCACAAAATAAGGTTTCAACCTTTCAAAAGGGACTATCCCTGTTTCCAAACAGAAAAAACCCGGAATTAACCTCTTACTCAAAGAAATTGACCCGACCCGACTGAGAGAAACAACACGCGGATCTAAAGGAGGAAAATGAACTTAAATCGAATCGGAACCAGCTAAAAAAACCGGATAAGATTCCAAAATCAAAATAAAATCAGAATCAATTTTTAGTCCAACCGAATTGAGTCAAATCTACACAAAAAAAACATAAATGCCATTTCAAATTTCGAATCAAGAATTTTGGAAACAATAATAACTACTCCAGTTCATGGCAAAAGTGAAAGTCCACACAAAAGCTTAGTCATCAAAATTTGTTACCTTTATCAATAGCTATAAAATCGGATAGTTTTTAATTTAGAAATAACCATAAAAAGATTTTACAAATATAAGCTTTTCAATTAAATCATGATTATACCGGATTTTTCTCCACGAAAATCAAATCTTTAACCTAATTTTTTCAGTATAAATAGACCTTCTTCTACCAAATAACTCTGTTTTTCTTAAATCAATTTTAGTGGCGGCTCCTTATGTTTAACATACCTTAATGTCTTTCTTTTCAGCTTGGCGAATCCAAGCAAGCTTCTTCGTATTTGGAAGCAATACACGGCGGCTGCAATATTAGAGCTGATCCTAGAAGAAGAAACGTAAGTAAACGTCATAATGTTTTCAATTCTAAATAAGAATCAGTTATGTTTTGTAAAGTGTGAAAATATTTTTTTTTAAACATGCTATACCCGTCTTGAAAAGAAACTTCATGTTGGCGAGTGGGCATCGAGACAATACAAACAACCTTCAGCGTGTTAACAAATAACTTTGTGACTGATTTCAAAGCTGTGCACAAACCTGCGACCAGATTTGGAGAAAACCAAACTGGCAAACACAAAAGAAATGAGAAACATAACACATGGCAAAAACAAATAAAAAAGAGAAACAAAGCTCACAACAAAAAGATTATCAAAAGAAATATGAGATACTCAGTATTATAAATGAAACACTAAAACACATCAAGATCACTGAAATCAATTAAGCAACAAATTAAAAAAAAAAAAATCAATCTTTAAACATCATAAGTGAATCACTATTATAAATTTATCTAGAACCTAACGTATAAATGTTCTATACTATTAAATGAGAGGCACAAAATAAGGTTTCAACCTTTCAAAAGAGACTATCCCTGTTTCCAAACAGAAAAAAACCCGGAATTAACCTCTTACTCAAAGAAATTGACCCGACCCGACTGAGAGAAACAACACGCGGATCTAAAGGAGGAAAATGAACTTAAATCGAATCGGAACCAGCTAAAAAAACCGGATAAGGTTCCAAAATCAAAATAAAATCAGAATCAATTTTTAGTCCAACCGAATTGAGTCAAATCTACAAAAAAAAAAACATAAATGCCATTTCAAATTTCGAATCAAGAATTTTGGAAACAATAATAACTACTCCAGATCATACTAATAAAAAATCTGAGACTCCTTTCCAAATATTGTGCCTAATAATTGTGTATTTGAATTCTCGAATCCAATATATCATTAACAACTATAACAACTAAATTCTCTTCTCCAAGCTAAATCACAAGAATCTTTCCAAAATTCACGCATAATAATATACTTCATACCTAATCTAGAACTTTGCATTCTGTATCTATCACACAAAAGATACGAGATTCATCATCATTCATGGCAAAAGTGAAAGTCCACACAAAAGCTTAGTCATCAAAATTTGTTACCTTTATCAATAGCTATAAAATCGGATAGTTTTTAATTTAGAAATAACCATAAAAAGATTTTACAAATATAAGCTTTTCAATTAAATCATGATTATACCGGATTTTTCTCCACGAAAATCAAATCTTTAACCTAATTTTTTCAGTATAAATAGACCTTCTTCTACCAAATAACTCTGTTTTTCTTAAATCAATTTTAGTGGCGGCTCCTTATGTTTAACATACCTTAATGTCTTTCTTTTCAGCTTGGCGAATCCAAGCAAGCTTCTTCGTATTTGGAAGCAATACACGGCGGCTGCAATATTAGAGCTGATCCTAGAAGAAGAAACGTAAGTAAACGTCATAATGTTTTCAATTCTAAATAAGAATCAGTTATGTTTTGTAAAGTGTGAAAATATTTTTTTTTAAACATGCTATACCCGTCTTGAAAAGAAACTTCATGTTGGCGAGTGGGCATCGAGACAATACAAACAACCTTCAGCGTGTTAACAAATAACTTTGTGACTGATTTCAAAGCTGTGCACAAACCTGCGACCAGATTTGGAGAAAACCAAACTGGCAAACACAAAAGAAATGAGAAACATAACACATGGCAAAAACAAATAAAAAAGAGAAACAAAGCTCACAACAAAAAGATTATCAAAAGAAATATGAGATACTCAGTATTATAAATGAAACACTAAAACACATCAAGATCACTGAAATCAATTAAGCAACAAATTAAAAAAAAAAAAATCAATCTTTAAACATCATAAGTGAATCACTATTATAAATTTATCTAGAACCTAACGTATAAATGTTCTATACTATTAAATGAGAGGCACAAAATAAGGTTTCAACCTTTCAAAAGAGACTATCCCTGTTTCCAAACAGAAAAAAACCCGGAATTAACCTCTTACTCAAAGAAATTGACCCGACCCGACTGAGAGAAACAACACGCGGATCTAAAGGAGGAAAATGAACTTAAATCGAATCGGAACCAGCTAAAAAAACCGGATAAGGTTCCAAAATCAAAATAAAATCAGAATCAATTTTTAGTCCAACCGAATTGAGTCAAATCTACAAAAAAAAAAACATAAATGCCATTTCAAATTTCGAATCAAGAATTTTGGAAACAATAATAACTACTCCAGATCATACTAATAAAAAATCTGAGACTCCTTTCCAAATATTGTGCCTAATAATTGTGTATTTGAATTCTCGAATCCAATATATCATTAACAACTATAACAACTAAATTCTCTTCTCCAAGCTAAATCACAAGAATCTTTCCAAAATTCACGCATAATAATATACTTCATACCTAATCTAGAACTTTGCATTCTGTATCTATCACACAAAAGATACGAGATTCATCATCATTCATGGCAAAAGTGAAAGTCCACACAAAAGCTTAGTCATCAAAATTTGTTACCTTTATCAATAGCTATAAAATCGGATAGTTTTTAATTTAGAAATAACCATAAAAAGATTTTACAAATATAAGCTTTTCAATTAAATCATGATTATACCGGATTTTTCTCCACGAAAATCAAATCTTTAACCTAATTTTTTCAGTATAAATAGACCTTCTTCTACCAAATAACTCTGTTTTTCTTAAATCAATTTTAGTGGCGGCTCCTTATGTTTAACATACCTTAATGTCTTTCTTTTCAGCTTGGCGAATCCAAGCAAGCTTCTTCGTATTTGGAAGCAATACACGGCGGCTGCAATATTAGAGCTGATCCTAGAAGAAGAAACGTAAGTAAACGTCATAATGTTTTCAATTCTAAATAAGAATCAGTTATGTTTTGTAAAGTGTGAAAATATTTTTTTTTAAACATGCTATACCCGTCTTGAAAAGAAACTTCATGTTGGCGAGTGGGCATCGAGACAATACAAACAACCTTCAGCGTGTTAACAAATAACTTTGTGACTGATTTCAAAGCTGTGCACAAACCTGCGACCAGATTTGGAGAAAACCAAACTGGCAAACACAAAAGAAATGAGAAACATAACACATGGCAAAAACAAATAAAAAAGAGAAACAAAGCTCACAACAAAAAGATTATCAAAAGAAATATGAGATACTCAGTATTATAAATGAAACACTAAAACACATCAAGATCACTGAAATCAATTAAGCAACAAATTAAAAAAAAAAAAATCAATCTTTAAACATCATAAGTGAATCACTATTATAAATTTATCTAGAACCTAACGTATAAATGTTCTATACTATTAAATGAGAGGCACAAAATAAGGTTTCAACCTTTCAAAAGAGACTATCCCTGTTTCCAAACAGAAAAAAACCCGGAATTAACCTCTTACTCAAAGAAATTGACCCGACCCGACTGAGAGAAACAACACGCGGATCTAAAGGAGGAAAATGAACTTAAATCGAATCGGAACCAGCTAAAAAAACCGGATAAGGTTCCAAAATCAAAATAAAATCAGAATCAATTTTTAGTCCAACCGAATTGAGTCAAATCTACAAAAAAAAAAACATAAATGCCATTTCAAATTTCGAATCAAGAATTTTGGAAACAATAATAACTACTCCAGATCATACTAATAAAAAATCTGAGACTCCTTTCCAAATATTGTGCCTAATAATTGTGTATTTGAATTCTCGAATCCAATATATCATTAACAACTATAACAACTAAATTCTCTTCTCCAAGCTAAATCACAAGAATCTTTCCAAAATTCACGCATAATAATATACTTCATACCTAATCTAGAACTTTGCATTCTGTATCTATCACACAAAAGATACGAGATTCATCATCATTCATGGCAAAAGTGAAAGTCCACACAAAAGCTTAGTCATCAAAATTTGTTACCTTTATCAATAGCTATAAAATCGGATAGTTTTTAATTTAGAAATAACCATAAAAAGATTTTACAAATATAAGCTTTTCAATTAAATCATGATTATACCGGATTTTTCTCCACGAAAATCAAATCTTTAACCTAATTTTTTCAGTATAAATAGACCTTCTTCTACCAAATAACTCTGTTTTTCTTAAATCAATTTTAGTGGCGGCTCCTTATGTTTAACATACCTTAATGTCTTTCTTTTCAGCTTGGCGAATCCAAGCAAGCTTCTTCGTATTTGGAAGCAATACACGGCGGCTGCAATATTAGAGCTGATCCTAGAAGAAGAAACGTAAGTAAACGTCATAATGTTTTCAATTCTAAATAAGAATCAGTTATGTTTTGTAAAGTGTGAAAATATTTTTTTTTAAACATGCTATACCCGTCTTGAAAAGAAACTTCATGTTGGCGAGTGGGCATCGAGACAATACAAACAACCTTCAGCGTGTTAACAAATAACTTTGTGACTGATTTCAAAGCTGTGCACAAACCTGCGACCAGATTTGGAGAAAACCAAACTGGCAAACACAAAAGAAATGAGAAACATAACACATGGCAAAAACAAATAAAAAAGAGAAACAAAGCTCACAACAAAAAGATTATCAAAAGAAATATGAGATACTCAGTATTATAAATGAAACACTAAAACACATCAAGATCACTGAAATCAATTAAGCAACAAATTAAAAAAAAAAAAATCAATCTTTAAACATCATAAGTGAATCACTATTATAAATTTATCTAGAACCTAACGTATAAATGTTCTATACTATTAAATGAGCGGCACAAAATAAGGTTTCAACCTTTCAAAAGAGACTATCCCTGTTTCCAAACAGAAAAAAACCCGGAATTAACCTCTTACTCAAAGAAATTGACCCGACCCGACTGAGAGAAACAACACGCGGATCTAAAGGAGGAAAATGAACTTAAATCGAATCGGAACCAGCTAAAAAAACCGGATAAGGTTCCAAAATCAAAATAAAATCAGAATCAATTTTTAGTCCAACCGAATTGAGTCAAATCTACAAAAAAAAACATAAATGCCATTTCAAATTTCGAATCAAGAATTTTGGAAACAATAATAACTACTCCAGATCATACTAATAAAAAATCTGAGACTCCTTTCCAAATATTGTGCCTAATAATTGTGTATTTGAATTCTCGAATCCAATATATCATTAACAACTATAACAACTAAATTCTCTTCTCCAAGCTAAATCACAAGAATCTTTCCAAAATTCACGCATAATAATATACTTCATACCTAATCTAGAACTTTGCATTCTGTATCTATCACACAAAAGATACGAGATTCATCATCATTCATGGCAAAAGTGAAAGTCCACACAAAAGCTTAGTCATCAAAATTTGTTACCTTTATCAATAGCTATAAAATCGGATAGTTTTTAATTTAGAAATAACCATAAAAAGATTTTACAAATATAAGCTTTTCAATTAAATCATGATTATACCGGATTCTCCTCCACGAAAACCAAATCTTTAACCTAATTTTTTCAGTATAAATAGACCTTCTTCTACCAAATAACTCTGTTTTTCTTGAATCAATTTTAGTGGCGGCTCCTTATGTTTAACATACCTTAATGTCTTTCTTTTCAGCTTGGCGAATCCAAGCAAGCTTCTTCGTATTTGGAAGCAATACACGGCGGCTGCAATATTAGAGCTGATCCTAGAAGAAGAAACGTAAGTAAACGTCATAATGTTTTCAATTCTAAATAAGAATCAGTTATGTTTTGTAAAGTGTGAAAATATTTTTTTTTAAACATGCTATACCCGTCTTGAAAAGAAACTTCATGTTGGCGAGTGGGCATCGAGACAATACAAACAACATTCAGCGTGTTAACAGATAACTTTGTGACTGATTTCAAAGCTGTGCACAAACCTGCGACCAGATTTGGAGAAAACCAAACTGGCAAACACAAAAGAAATGAGAAACATAACACATGGCAAAAACAAATAAAAAAGAGAAACAAAGCTCACAACAACAAAAAGATTACCAAAAGAAAATATGAGATACTCAGTATTATAAATGAAACACTAAAACACATCAAGATCACTGAAATCAACTAAGCAACGAATTAAAAAAAAAAATCAATCTTTAAACGTCATAAGTGAATCACTATTATAAATTTATCTAGAACCTGACGTATAAATGTTCTATACTATTAAAGGAGAGGCACAAAATAAGGTTTCAACCTTTCAAAAGGGACTATCCCTGTTTCCAAACAGAAAAAACCCGGAATTAACCTCTTACTCAAAGAAATTGATCCGACCCGACTGAGAGAAACAACACGCGGATCTAAAGGAGGAAAATGAACTTAAATCGAATCGGAACCAGCTAAAAAAACCGGATAAGGTTCCAAAATCAAAATAAAATCAGAATCAATTTTTAGTCCAACCGAATTGAGTCAAATCTACAAAAAAAAACATAAATGCCATTTCAAATTTCGAATCAAGAATTTTGGAAACAATAATAACTACTCCAGATCATACTAATAAAAAATCTGAGACTCCTTTCCAAATATTGTGCCTAATAATTGTGTATTTGAATTCTCGAATCCAATATATCATTAACAACTATAACAACTAAATTCTCTTCTCCAAGCTAAATCACAAGAATCTTTCCAAAATTCACGCATAATAATATACTTCATACCTAATCTAGAACTTTGCATTCTGTATCTATCACACAAAAGATACGAGATTCATCATCATTCATGGCAAAAGTGAAAGTCCACACAAAAGCTTAGTCATCAAAATTTGTTACCTTTATCAATAGCTATAAAATCGGATAGTTTTTAATTTAGAAATAACCATAAAAAGATTTTACAAATATAAGCTTTTCAATTATATCATGATTATACCGGATTCTTCTCCACGAAAATCAAATCTTTAACCTAATTTTTTCAGTATAAATAGACCTTCTTCTACCAAATAACTCTGTTTTTCTTGAATCAATTTTAGTGGCGGCTCCTTATGTTTAACATACCTTAATGTCTTTCTTTTCAGCTTGGCGAATCTAAGCAAGCTTCTTCGTATTTGGAAGCAATACACGGCGGCTGCAATATTAGAGCTGATCCTAGAAGAAGAAACGTAAGTAAACGTCATAATGTTTTCAATTCTAAATAAGAATCAGTTATGTTTTGTAAAGTGTGAAAATATTTTTTTTTAAACATGCTATACCCATCTTGAAAAGAAACTTCATGTTGGCGAGTGGGCATCGAGACAATACAAACAACCTTCAGCGTGTTAACAGATAACTTTGTGACTGATTTCAAAGCTGTGCACAAACCTGCGACCAGATTTGGAGAAAACCAAACTGGCAAACACAAAAGAAATGAGAAACATAACACATGGCAAAAACAAATAAAAAAGAGAAACAAAGCTCACAACAACAAAAAGATTACCAAAAGAAAATATGAGATACTCAGTATTATAAATGAAACACTGAAACACATCAAGATCAGTGAAATCAACTAAGCAACGAATTAAAAAAAAAAATCAATCTTTAAACGTTATAAGTGAATCACTATTATAAATTTATCTAGAACCTAACGTATAAATGTTCTATCTATAAAGCAGTCTTTCTACATTGTTGTCATAGCCCCAAAACTTAACAATGATACATTGTTTAAGCTTCCAATTAAGTACACCAAAACAATTTTGTAACTCCCAAAGTCACTTAAAACGAAGAAATCCAGTTTTATAGAAACTTATGCTTAAAATCTAAAGACAAAAGCAAATGAACAAAGCTCAAAACCAACAAAAAAATTGTAATAACAGAAATCGAGAAGTACTTTTCCCTTATTCTTTGTGTAACATTGGATTGAAACACTTTAGCTTTTAACAGAGAATCTTTCAAACAAAACTGAATTTGCTACTTCTTTCTACCAAGATAACCTTATCAATTAGCTTCTTATTTCTACCATGATCCAACTCTTTGATAACAATAAGCTATCACACAAACAAAACAGAAAAAAAATTCTCAGAAAAGACAGGGAAAATGGTTTTCTATTATCAAAGCATCAACCACATTACGAACATAGAAATAGCTAACTAAATACTACAATCAGTGACAGAAAAACACACACACCAAATTTACAAACCATCTTAACTTGAGTTTGTTTTTGTCGACTCAAACCAATCTTAAGAGGAAAATCTGAACTCCTTTCCGCATCAACAGCGTGTCAGGATCTTTACAGATTATAAAAATTGTTGAATTAGAACACTAACCTCTTGAGTGGGGACTCTAATTTGATCCTAAATGTCTCCTTTGCGCCACTGGAATTGAGAGCCGCGATCACTTGCTCTTTGCATGTCCTTTCAGTTACGTAAATGCAATTTCAATCAATATTCCAACATTAAAATGCAAATTGAAAAGCTATGAATGAAACTTGCATGTGGTGGATTGGATTCAAAATGAACAAATTAATAGTTTCTATCGGATCCGCAAATGTGACGGGTGAACAATCGGCCATGATGAAGATGCTCAAGGTGTGGTTTTCTACCAAAACTACTAATCGGCGATGATGAAGATTATCATACCTCTACTGAATGGGCAATTTGCAATATCGTAAAAAAAAAGAAAAAAAAAATTACAATATCGTATCTCTGGATATTTTGTGTTCGGTCGAGAAGATTCTCCTGACATTTGATGGTTCAATATGATTTCTACATGTGGGCTTTTCGTTTTTACGTTTCAAGGATGTGTATTATTGGGCTGGGCATGTAAAATTATATTCCTCCTGCAATCTTTTTAGTAGAAAACTCCGTTAACGGGCCATTTTCTAGGCTCCGGGTTTTATATTTACGGGTCAGAATATATTTTTTATTTTACGTAGAAAAAAATTTAACTTAACGGGTGAGAACAAACTTTTTGTTTTTAAGTACAAAAAGGTTTACATCAACAGGTATTACTTTTCGTTTTTAAGTGGATAAAATTTTACATCTACAGGTGGAAACATGTTTTTTGTATCTAATTGGACAAAAATTTCAAAAACATGATTAAAATCAGAAAATCAATAATGATAAAAATGAAGATAGGTGATAAAAATACAAAACCATATTTTTTATATAAGATATAAATTACATGTTGTCCACAGAATGAGTCACATTCAAAAGACGCGTATTCCACAACGATGAATTAAAAAATGACGCCATAATCAAAGTTTAATGTAATGAAAATCAATAATTATCAATTCTATTAAAAAAAGAACATTTTTAATTTTCTTCAAAAAAAACATTTGTAATTTTCTTCATAAAAGAAACATTCCATGTTGTTGGTAGGATTTATAAGAATGATATTGCAACATGAAGAGACATTCGGAAATAATCTAAGGATATGTTGAATTATGAATATTCTCAAAATTTTAACTATAATTTATAGATCAAACAACTTCTACGTACGGATTCAACTTAAATTAAATTAACTCAAAGATTTGCAGCATCATTAGTCAAATCCAACATTTTTTAAAAAAATCTGGGTTTTTTCCGACTTTAACATGTTTCATCGACAAATTTACAAAATAAGAGAAAAAAGAAGATGATAATATCTAAAAATTATAGATTTTCATATGATATCAAATTGAGAAGATATTATTTTTATGTTTCATCGGTACTGGTTATGATTAACTTCAAATAAAAAGAATTTGATTTGTTCATGTCATTCTGTCGACACACGTCAAAATTTAATGCAGTGATCGTGATAATTCAGTTAACAATATCGACAAAATCCATAATTATAAGTTTAGTTAACGGAAAAACCACATATGTTAAGACAAAACTTATCTCAAAAGTCCATCATTTTTATCGTTCTGGCCCAATAAGTCCAAATATAATACATAACTGAAAAATTAATGATCACATATTTATTTTATCTCATATTTTGATAATTAAATAATATTAATTCATCACTATATATCACAAACATAATATTACGTACACTATAAATAACTAAAATTTTGTTATAACAAATTACAACATCCCATGCTTCTCAAGACCTATGATGAGATGAGGAAAAACCAGCTGCATCGAGAAATTGTGATGGATTAAGGGATTTAAATGTGTGGAGACGTTATATGTTTTATGTGAACATGGCCAATTGGTTTTAAATTAAGACGAATTGTTGTGATACAACCCATTTGAACATGCCAATTTGTTTCTATTAATTTAGTTAAGCCCCATATAAATTATATAACCCATTTGAATATAATTACACATTTCCGAGCCCAAATAGAAAAACAAATATATTAAAAATCATAATTAATTAGTCAATTACTTAAATCAACACAACATAAATTATAACTACCTGTACTTTCCAAGCACGGTTCAAGATCTAGTATAATTGAAAGGGCTTGTGACACTCTCCAGCTAGCTGATGACACGTCAGCACTTCTAGAGAGTGCCACGTCAGCTTATTTTTTAAACCTTACAGTCTGACTCCAGTTTTTCCTTTCGTCACAAAACGACGTCGTTTTGTTTTTCCTTTCGTCACAAAACGACGTCGTTTCTGCTTGCCACGTCAGCTTCCTTCTAGGAAAAAAAACAAAAAATTACACAGGCGTCTTCTCGCCTTCCTCTCCAGCGGTGGATTACGCGATCTTTCTTCAATGGCCAGCCGTTAGCCTCCCTTGCTACGATAATTTATGGGACCTCTTTAATGCCCGCCTACCATATAAATAGGTTAGCTAAGCTTCTGGATTCCTTAAAACCTAGATCTGATTTCCATTTCGCTAAGGGTAATATCCCGATTTCGCTTAACTTATTTTGTTCTTCTGTGTCGAGTTCCTGTTATCGCTTTTAAGATTTCTGGTTTTAGATACCGAGATTTCGTAGGGTTTTCCAGACGAATTTGGTTTTCGTGGTGAGTTAAATTTGATCGAATTCTTTTTTTTCTCTCTCTTTGTAGCTTTTGCGATCGATCAATGTTTAATTGGAGTTGAAACTTTTGCAACGCATGGCTTACCAAAATCGAGTCAGGACCAGAGTTGGGGTTTGCAATAGATGATTTCGTGAGAGGCAAATTGGAGCTTTTGGAGAAGATCGGCGAACGTTACGTTGCGAGATTTAGCGAATACCATGACTCGAAGATCAAGCCGATAAGAGATCAGGACCTGTAGCTTGACTGTGCAGCTTGAATATTTATCTTCATTGATGCTTTCCGCAAATAAAAAACAGAGGAGGATGTTTCGGGCAGTTTTCGTGAGTAATCTGATTCGATCTTGCTCTAGAGTTAAGCATCCAATTGATCGGAGCGCACGTTCGCTTCTCTCGTCGGAGATGGTTCGTCTGTACAGCACCGGTAGGTTTTTCTTCGTTCTCAAAGTTTTTTACTCATTTTCTTCGACTTAAAACTAGGAAACAAACTCGATTGCGGATTAAACACTGCACTGAGTTCCATTTTAGCGAATTTCAGTTTGGTATTTGATTGAAATGGGCTCTGTAATGGCAGAAATGGAACCTCAGCTGTCTCCAGATCTTATTAAGATAATGGATCAGAGACTATCGTCGATAGAACACGAAATGCTGTTCTTCAGAGGCTTATTAACCAGGTAATCCAAACCTTTTGCTTTATATGTTTTCAAATCCTCATTTTTGAAGTGTTCAATAAACTGTGTTGTGTTGATTGAAAAGACAGCCCGAGTACTCACAAGAAGAGTTTTCAAGAGCTAAAAGGAACTTCGGAAGCTGAGAGAGTCAATGGAGCTGATCAATGATTTGAGGGCCAAACAAAAGGTACTGTATTTCCTCCTCGTCTCTAATCTAAAAAAGGTCATCGCTTATAAAGTTTAATTCCTTCTGGTAGGAAATTGATGGACTGAAATCTCTGGTGTCAGAGAGTTCGGATGACAAGGACATGCTTGATATGGCTGTAAGTGAATTAGGTGAGGCGGTGGAAGAAGAGAAGAGACTGCAGACTTTGCTGCTTAAGTCTTTGCTTCCTAAAGACGAAGCTGATGAAAGGGATTGTATCCTGGAGGTGAGAGCAGGTAGACTTATGAACTAATAATGCTCTTGAACATCGCTTACTTCCAACGTTATCTAGGTTATTTTTGACAAATGAATATCTTGGTTAGGTACTGGTGGAGAAGAGGCTTCTTTGTTTGCCATGGACATATGTAGAATGTTAGTTCCTTTTTTATATACTGAACATAGAAAGTGTTATCCTTCTTTCTACTTGGAATTTGACTCTGTTTCCGTTGGAATATTGATAGGTACGAAAGATATTCGCAGAAGAAAGGTTGGTAGTTTGATATTGTAGGATATGAAAGGATACAAAGTAAGTATTTTTTTTTAGTTCTTCCTGTGAATATTATTAGTATTCCATATTGTTACGTTCTAGGACCATCACTGGAGGTTTCCTGCATCATAGTTTTGTAGAAGACGTGGCATCAAATTGGATTACTTTGTTACAGCTAATGGGGAGTTTGTTGTTAGCGTTTCGGACAATATCAGGTGATCAGAAACCAGTTTGTATTGCTTGCAAAGATTGGTCTGCATGTTATAATTGATATCACTAGCGAAAGGAGAAAATTGCGGTCTTAAACCATGTCTATTTCTTATAGGTTGATCTGTTGTTCTTACTTCGTTGTTATTAACATGTACAGATGGAGTCTGCGTCCAGAGTTTGGAACACCAGGCTGTGTCTGGGATGCCAAATTCTTGGAGAGTGGGGATATTGTCACAGCATGTTCGGATGGAGTGGTTCGTGTTTGGACAGTACGTGATGAAGTGATTGCAGATCAGATGGAGATTGATGCATATAATTCGCTGATTTCGATTGAGCAGGTAATCTGATCATTTATGATTATCTCAACTCTTATCTTTTAGTTCTGTATCGATTGGGTATTTTTTTCACTTTCACATGGCAATTTCATGGATTTTTATGATATGACCTGCTGATGGTGTATGATATCGTGTTTTTATGCTCTACATATAACTGCAAACTATATGCGTGCCGTTCTTTATCTCAGGAAAAAGGTTGGGGGAATGAAACTTGACGAGCTGCCGGGTCTTGATGCTCTGACGTTGCCAGGTGCCACTTATTCTCCAAATTTTGTATTTTGTAAATTGTAATTGGTACTGTCTGGCTATGCTCATTCTCGTAACATCTTCTTGTATTTTATGTATCTTCTCAGGTACCAGTGATGGCCAGACAAAAATCGTAAGGGAAGGAGACAATGGTGTTGCTTATTCGTGGAATATGAGAGAACAGAGGTGGGACAAAGTAAGTCAACATAATGCCTTTTATCTCATTTGCTAAACCTTTTCGGTTTGTTGATTGCATGCCGTTTTTTCTCTTGACGTGAATGCTGCTTAATGTTTATTAGATTGCATTCTTGATTATACATATAACATCCATTGGAAATCAATTGGCTCGAGAAATATTTATAATTTAGTCATGGAAAAATTACTATTGGATGAAGGCTTGTGAATACCTTCTTTGGTTTGGTGACTAATTAGAAAAATTACTAATTAGATAAAAGCAATATACAGAATTTTTGGGTTTTTTTGTCTAACAGAGAAAAATTATTGATTTTGGTTTGGATCTCTGTAGGTGCGGTTTCGTTGCAGGATGAAGTGAACAAGTTGAATGAACACCAGGAAGAGAAGTAGAGAACACCAAGCTATTGGATCTTGTGGTTTTGTAATTTCAGAGGGAGACGTATGGTGAAGAGAGTGATGAAGAAGAGGATATAATCAATCACAGTGCCACAAAATTTGATCTCTTTTATCTAGAATTAAGTGTTTTTTATCGTTATTTAGAAGATGACAGCAAAGATTTTTGAAACCTCATAGCTCTTAATGAGGAGGCTAAAGCGAGGATACAAATTGGTATTTGCTCATGTGTTCTTGCCAACTATATTTGCTTCTTGTTTTTTTTCACTATCTACCTTCCAATGTAACTCTTTCGTGTTTCCCTACATACTATATACTCCAAATATGCAAAAGATATTCTTCATTACATAAATTAGATATCATAATCAGTGTTGAGTTGTGCTTCATATTGGTATACAAGATACAAATACTCACAACAGCACAAAAAAACAAATTATACAGAAACAAAGAATGTGAAAATACCTAGAACAAAAAGCAAATAAAAAATACTATGAATATATTAACCCGCGCAATAATATTATGAATATATTAACCCGCGCATTGCACGGGTACTCTCCTAGTATAAAAATAAAAGTACCTTCTTGTTTGAAATATCCATGACTACTAGATTTCAATTGGCATTCAGACTTGATTTTATCAATTATTTATTTTGTTAAATCACTAATTATGTTCATCTACAGTAAAACCTTTATAAATTAATAAAGTTGGGATTTCAAAATTTTCTTATTTCATAGAACTATTAATTTATAGTTCGATAAATGAAAGTAATGAAATTAATAGTTTATAGTTCGATAATTTCATAGAACTATTAATTTTCGATAAATTATAGAGAAATGAAAGAAATGGTAAATCTGAAAATTTTGAACACGATTTGGTATTTTCCTAAACCAGTCACTGCTAAGGATGATGAGGACGACGATGATGTGATAAATTAATGGCTAGTAGAAAGTTAAAAATAAATGTTGACAAAAAAAAATAAAATTAAAGGAAATAAAGTTCTGTTAATTATAATTATACTAATTCCAACTTTTGACCAAAGATACAGATACACAAAATTATCTACTTATGAATTTTAAATCTGTATAATTATGATCTTAGACCATAGACCAATGTTATAATTAGTGAATGATCTTAGACTGTTAAAGAGAATCCACTAATAATACATAAAGAGATATACATACGTTTTCTACTACTATAATTAGTGAAGGATCTTAGACCAATCAATTTTGGAATGTCCGTGTATGTAAAGGAAAATTTGGTTGACTAGGTTCTCTTATATATCTGTGTACAAATGTAAATCATCTCATAATAATACGATCATCCGTTTCTTACAAGATTATACTCAATAACTCAAAAGCAAGCATTTGGTGTAAACAGTTCGTGAATCCAAAGTAGAGGAAGGGGAAAAAAACAATGAAGGTCTCAGTTTTCTTCATTGCTGCATTGCTTGTTCTATCATGTAAGTATATATATCAATTTGATCTTATCAATTATATTATTCATAAGATGAAGATTCAGTTATGTAAAGCATATAAATGCATATAGTTTTACATATATGAATTATACACAGGTTCATCATCAGTTATAATGGGAGTTCACTATCACGAGGACCATTGCCATGACTACAAAGATTGTGAAGTATATTGCAAACAATATGTTCCTGAACCGAAATGTATTAAACACGTTTGCAATTGTAAACCTCCTCCTGCGACCGACGAAGACCTCCCCAAAACCGGCTAATTCTTCCAATATAAATAATTGAATAAGATTATGATCCTATGCATCCATCAAAATATATCTCTTTCTTGTATTACACCAATATGAAACAGTATTATATATAGCTTTTCATTAATATTTGTTTTTTTCGTTTTACATACCACTTTATATTCAGACCATTAAAATTAAGTACATTTTTACTAGATCCATAGGTAATGTTCGCGATATTCTAGTAGCGTTAAGAACAAGAATCCTAGTTTATAACTGTTATGGTTTATCATGTCTCATGCAATATTTGAAATCAAGAGATGAAAATTTTAGATATACGAGGAAAAGGTTGCTTGCTTGTTGTATGAATTGGGATATCACAAATCTAAATAAGGATATTAGGTTTAGGGTTTAATGAATAATCTTTTTAATTTATCAAGTCAAATATGTTTTGAAAATGTATATTGTAACATCCGTAAATCAAAAAGGTGAAATTTTTGGTTGGTGTCCTTGGTGTGGGTCGACACCGGTTATTGGGAATTCGGCCGGTTTGATTTAAGTCAATTGAAATCCGGTTTAGTTCCGGTTTGGGTTGGAAACCCTCGAGCCTTGGTTAAAAACACGCACAACCGCTTCTCTTTCCTTCGTTTTTGTCGTTTTGTGGTGATTGAGACGAGGAGCAATTTCTTGAGGCGATTGTTGGTGCTTGGCATGCGATCCGTGTCTGTTCGTCGTTGATTCGGAGTCTGGGCTTGTGTTTGGTGGCTTCTGCGTGGTGGTTCGTCGGTGTTCTTTGTCGTCGTGCTACAGTTCTTCTTCTTCCTCCGGTTTTCTTCCCCTTTTCAATCCAAAATCGAGGTGAGTGCATGACTGTGGGTCTGTGATTACTAGAGTTTGGTTGTGTGATCGATTATGTGGTGATTTCGTGTTGATATCGATGTTTGATTTGTTGTTTATGGTGAATTGTTGTTTCTCTGTAAATTTGGTTACTGTTCATAACCCGATCTGTGTGATTTCAGAGACGGTGTCGAGAGACACAAGTTTGTGTCGGTCGACACCAGAAGGTTAGTGTCGAGCGACACAAAGCGTGTGTCGGTTGACACAGACCGGTTATCTCCGGTTAAAATCGATTTAATTGGTTTAATTGAATTGAAAATGATTTATCCGAATTATTGGTTTAATGTGGTATTTAATTAATTATTGGTTATTTAATTAATTCAATGGTGTAAAATAATTATATTAATTATTTTTAATTATCAAAAATTATTATTAAATTATGAAAATTATTTAATAATGGAGAAATGATATTTTAATAATTATTGAGTTTATAATAATTATTTTAATTGCTAGTAAATTGCGTCAATGGTCTGTAGGCAGAGTGATTGCCTCATTAAGTATTTATGATAATACTTACGCAACTCTATTCCAATGTGTTACATGTAAAAGGTTTTTGTGATCGCGTAATGAACTTTAATTAATAGAAATTGAGTTAGGAAACTTGTGATGAGAGTGAAACGGAAGAAGCATGGGAGGATGAGAAGTATGAATATGACAAAGCCTTGAATGCAGATAGAACTTACCTTAAGTTCAAGAAACGGATAGATGCAAATCCGGAGCAATGTTTCAGGTAAGCTTATCTTCTAGCTCTGAAAATCTTCCTCAACAGTTTGAACGTTGGTCTAATCTTCTCTCATGGACTAGGTACTCGTATGGAGGTAAACCATTACTGGCAACCGAAGAGCTGAGATCTTCCGAGAAGTGCAGGCATTGCGACTCTCCGATGCTGTTTGAGATGCAACTCATGCTGCTTTGATATATTTTCTACATGAAGGTGTTGTTGACAAAGGGGTTAAGGAATCATTGGATAACTGGGATTGGATGACACTTATTCTCTACTCTTGTTCCAAGGTAATTATCTCATATATTAGTAAATCTTCAAGAACATATATATTTTCTTGATCATTTTGGAGCAATAATGTTAAAACTATTTGTAGAGCTGTGCAAATGCGGTGAATGGCGATTGGGTTGTTACTGAGGAGTGTATAGTAGTACAGTATGAGAAACCAATGAATCTTGATCATGCTAGCTTCTTCAAATGATAAGCTAAGAATCTGGAAAAATATATGATTTTGATTAAGGACAGAGTTTCCCAAGAAGAGGGAGCTGCTAAAAAAACTTGTTTTTGTTGTTGTTGTGAGACAATAGACCACATTTTTTATGTGATGTATTTCTAGTGTTTTATGTAATCTTTATTATATTATTAATTGAGAAGTACATGAAAAATTTATAACCAAAACACCAATCTAATTATGAAGAGAAAGTGTTTGACAAAAGATTTAATGAGGGTCAAATTAGTACATTGTAATATTTGGATACAAGAATAAGAGAGAAAGCTATTTGGATAGAAGAATAAATGGAAAAAATTGTTTGGATACAAGAATAATAACTTAAAACAAACCAATGGTTTAGAAAACTTCCGTTTTCCAGCTCTTAAAAATCTGTAAAACAGAAAACTTAACATATAATCCAACGATAATACCAAATCAATAGAATATGATTTTGGATTTTCGGGTTTAAATTTTTTTTTTTAATTTTAATTAGGGTTCAATTCAGTTTCTTTTAATTTAGACATATTAAAAAAGTTTGGGTATTTTGAAAATTTTGATTAGGGTTTTTAGGTCGGATTAGGGTTTCGGGTAAAAAATTAGTATTTTTTTATTCGGTTCAGGGTTTTCGGAATTTTTTGGATTTCGAATTTTCGGGTTTAGACATATTAAAAATGTTTGAGTTTTTAAAAATTTTGATTAGGGTTTTTGGGTCGAGCTCAGGTTTAGGATTTAGATTTTCTTCACAAAATCACAATGTCACACGGCGCATTTGAGCGGGTCCTCTACTAGTATTTGATTAATTAAAAAGACAGATGATTTTACTGGATTTAGTTTCGACTTAATTATCTTGAAAGTCAATTTTGGTGTTACGCAAGAACTATTCAAACCAAAAGTGTGGGATGGCGCCAACTCTCTCTCTCATCTCTCTCTTCTATCATTTCCTTTTGGCCCTTTTCTTGATTTCTCTGAAGCTTAACACACACACACACACACATAAACTCTTGTTCTACCTGTTCCATGTGATTCTGTCCCTGAACGTATTTCATCAACAGTCATAACACTGTCCTCTAATCCATTATCTCCCACCTGATAGATAGGTTGATGCATGATATCGATCAGAAACCAAACCTGTTTTCTTTGATATTAAATAATTCACATGTAACTTACAAACTGAAGAATAACGTCTGCCCAATCTTGAATCCGGTGCCACAGAATCAGATATTTCCTATGCCCTTTATCTAACCACTCTGCACGCCCTATCAGTAGATAAAGAAAGAGTTTAAACATGAAACGAAACTATGAGAGTAAAGAAGCATCATTTTACCATTCACAGAACCAACGAAAACAGGCCGCTTGAATGTATCGGAATCTAACCTTGTCCAACAATGGCTGAGCGGAAAGTTTCCCTTGCTTCATGGCTAAGAGATGATTCTCATCTCTCATGCCCCTCTCTTTTGAAAGCTAAGCCCAAATATCCAGCAATAAAACGGAATTTAATTTTGATTTTTATTTTAATTCAAAAACGTGGTTGATTACACCAATGACCCTCACTGTTTGAGTTAATTACACATCCAACCAGGAAAACCCAACTTAATCGGATACCCTAACTCTAAAAAACAGAAATCGCGTTCTCCCTTTATCTTCAATTTCTCCTTCTGCAATTCAGAAATCAGTTTTTGAAGAGATTGAGAATCCTCCCGTTTGATTTCTCAGATCTATCTTTTCTCCCTCTTCATCTTGTTCTTCTAGTTTAACAGACAAATTAGTAATACTGCGGAAGATGCCTCGAACTAAAAACCCCGAGTTCCCCTTGGAACAAACTCATCCTTCCGAAATGATGGAGGAAGAAGACCCCCCGACTGGATTCGAAAGAGAGGTGAATCCCGTTGAAAGAGAGAATAATTCCGAGGATGGAGAGAACATTTCGGAGGAAGAAGCAAATAAAGCCGACAAAGAAGATAATAATCCCAATTCCGACGAAGAAGATAAGAATTCCGAGGAAGATGGAAGTGGAACACTGAGTGACCGTGAAGAGGAGGAAGACGAGGAAGACGGAAGTGTAAGTATCCCGATTAATTCAATATATAGGAGGAATCTTTGAAAGTGTTTACTCTTGATTTCCTGTGTGTTGGTATCGTAGTAGTAGTACAACATAATATAACTTGGTTGGTATAACTCAATGCATTTAGAATAACTTGGTAGAATTAAACGCGTTTTGCAGGATTCGGGAGAGGAAACCGAAGCAATGCAACCTTTGCAGATGTACTTTCCACCGAGTGAGTATAAGAAGAAAATAAAGATCTCCACTAGGTGTTACATCGCCGACACATTGGAGACACTTCTTGATAAGTTAGACCCTCCACTTACAAGCCAAGAGAGAAGTTGGTTTGAGACGCACCCGAAATTCCAACATATTTTTCACATGACAAGGGACAAAAACCACAGGGTTCAGGGCATGTGGATGCTACTTTTCCTAACGGCATGTACTGAGAAGGAAAAAGAAGCTTGCTCCGTGGTAAATGCGTTCCCATTCGCTACAGCATCAAAGAACATGCACTGATATCGGGATTAGACTGCCATAACTATCGATTGGAGTTTATGCAAAAAAAAATCAATGAGAACAATGAAGTTTGTGGAGAAGTTCTTTAAAAAGGGATCTAAGATTAGATATAAAGACGTGAAAGCGAAGCTACTTAAAATGGAAGCTGGCAGAGATAAGTTGAACATGGTGGTCCTGTTCTTTTTGTCAAGCATTATTAAAGGCTTGGTCAAGACTGGTAGATATGCTCCTTCTGTGGACCCATTCCTACTGAGAGCCGTCAGTGATCTTGAGTTATGCCGGACATTTCCTTGGGGGAGATTGTCATTTGATCATATGCTTCAACAGATCACTCACACAATGAGTCATTTTGGAGGGTTTGTTAAGGAGGGTGAGAAGAGTCCAATATTATGGCCGATAGGTGGTTTCTGCATTCCTTTGGAGGTAAAAAATATTTGAAGTTTTATTTATTGTTTCTACTTACTATAACTGAATTGAGGCTACCTCTAATCATAATTATTTTGTGTAGCTCTTACCTGTTGAGCCAATTGCAGCATTGGGGTTGAAGTTCCGAAAACCTGTTGCCGGTGCACATGAAAATTGTCCTAGGATGTGCAGATCAAAGTTCAAATCATGCGAGATGAAAGGGTTTTCGTTAGAACAAATAAATGCCGAACTTCGTACAACTAAAGTTAGTGCAACTTGTACAACTTGGTCCATTCTAATCTTTATTCGTTGGTTTTTATTCACAGTATATTGAGAGTATACTGATTCCATCCCGCACCGAGAAAGCTCTCCTGCGCGAAATCACTGAGAAGAAAGAAGATGATAAGCATTGCGTCGTTGTCCAAAGTTGGATGGATCGTCTTGGTGAAGGATTTACCGTATTCTTTGAGAATATGTTCAAAGAAGATATAGATGCCAGGGTCAGAGAAGTACCTGCGAATGTGGCGGTCGAAGATGTTGACCCCATTGAACCACCGGTGAACGGCCCATCTGCATCATTGGTAGATCTCATTGACCGCATGAAGAAAGAAATGGATGAGCGTATGACGAAAATGGAGGAAAAGGTTGATGGGTTGGTTGACAAGGTTGATGGGTTGGTGGAAAGGATTGCCCCGTTGGAAGCTTATGTGAATGAGCAATCGGCATATATGAGGACGTATGAGGAGAACATCGTTCATGGGAATTCACAGGACAAGGAAGGCGATGATGGCATAGACAAATCACAGGACAAGGAAGGTGATGGTGGCAGAGAGAAAGAAGGCGAGCCCGGAAAGGTAATAGTTGCAATTCTTTTAGGATTTTTGTACTTAATAGTATTTATAATATTTTCACTTTGTTGGATTATAGGTTTTAGGCACCGATGTTGAAGGTAATGTGGAGAAAGAAGGAGGAAAAAGTGGTGACAGTGTTGCAGTAGGGGAAGAACCCGTGAAGGAGAAGGTATACTTTGAAAAAAGAAAATGAGAAAATCTTACATTTTTGCCAATTTAATAATTGTATTTGTTTGTAGGAGACTGTGGAAGAGATGTCAATCGCTTCTCCTTCTCCTGAACGACCAAAGTTTCATCTCACTAAGCAAAAATCCGTAAAGAGGGCACATCAACCATAGGATAGAGATGGAATTAACGAGAAGCTAAATGCGGCTAAAAGGCAGAAGCGAGAGAAGGCTGAGAAGCTCTTAGAGGAGGCTAAGCAGCCGAGGATGTCTATAAGAGTAGCTGAGAAGGCTGAGATGGAAAAGAAGAAGGCAGAAGAAAAGGCTGAGATGGAAAGGAAGAAGGCAGAAGAAAAGGCTGAGAAGGAAAGGAAGAAGGCAGAAGAGAGGGTTGAGGAGGAAAAGAACTAAGTTTGTGTTGATTTAGTATTATAAGTTTGATTTTTTATGCTTGTTGGAACTAAGATTGTTAAGTATTCTAAGTACTGAGTTTGTTTTGTTATGTATTCTAAGTACTAAATTTGTTTTGTTATGGTAAAACCAGTTAAAATTTTGTTGATTGCAATGTTGTTTCATTTCGTAAAACTAGTAATACTATGTAAAACTATGTTGACTGCATTTCGTAAAACTAGTACAACTATGTAAAATTATGTTGATTGCAATGTTGTTTCATTTCGTAAAACTAGTAATACTATGTAAAACTATGTTGACAGCATCTCGTAAAACTAAAAAAAAAACTATGTAAAACTAAGCTTGTCGAAAGCACATAAACGGAACATATAAGTAAATAATGTTAAGGTTGGGTTATTACAAAACACATGATGAGCTCCATTATGGTCTCCATAAAGGTCTAACGAAACTCAATAAATATTAAGAGATTAAAGGTCTAATGAAACTCAAAACACATAAATTGTTCAACTACCATCCATCGAAGATGTTCTTCACAACTTGTTCAACTAGCTCCTTCAGTTTTGCAATCACTCCACGCTGGTTTTTCAGCTCCTCACTCATTTGCTTCAGTTGGGTTTCAAGACCCGACAGTTTTTGATTCTGCTCATCTATCTGTTCTGTTAATTTGTCAAACTCTTCCTCAACACCATAAAACCAAGGAACACGCCAGTGGAACCTATCATTCTGCATAGAAAGATAGATTGAATTCTCCAATAGAAGTCACCTTATATCATAAATATACACAACAAAGATGAGTTTGATTCTCCAATATAACTCACCTTATATGCCTTGCACGTAAAGTATCTGTTCCCCAGATCACCTTCGATTTTTGAAATATCGTGGTAGATAGGCTGTCCACATGGACATTTCTTAGGGATCCCACGTTGACCATCTGCGACGAGAGTGATATAGTCCATCTCCCTCGTCATTTCCTTCATAGCAATGTCTAGAGATTCCCACATCTATGTAGAAAAGAGCAAACAACAAGTACCCAGAATAACAAATCTCAAATTTTTCTAATCTCTCCTCAAATTCCTCAAATACCCAGAATAACAAATCTCAAGAAGACTTACCTTAAGATCGAAAAGGGAGAGTAGAGCGAGGAAGAAGAGCATTTGTAGATCTAGGGTTTGGTCGGTCGGCGGCGGCGTTCATTCGGAGAGAGAGCTTCACTTTCAGAGAGAGATTGTAGATCTAGAGGAGAGAAAGGAGGAGAGAGAGAGTGAGTGGAAGAGAGTGAGTGGAAGGAGAGAGGAGAGAGAAGGGAGTGATATAAATAATTAAAAATGAAAAAGAAAATGAAAAATTGAAAAATGGGAATTTTTCGCTCTTTTCCGCCTTTGTCATACGAAAAACATGCGCCGTCGCGCTGACATTACTAAAAAAACGCGCCGTCGCGCCGACATTACTAAAAAAACGCGCCGTCTTTCCTTAAGAAAATGTATATAGTTATACCAAGTTATTAGTTGTACTAAAAGTGCAAATAGTTCTACTTTTGGGTGTTTTCGATTTTTATTAGTATTACCTATACTTTAAGATATCGGTTCTAGTTCAATAGTTGATTTTAGTTGATTAAAATACTATTTTGAGTATTTGAACAAATAATATGTTGAAAATGTTGATCAATGCAACGTTGTGGTCTTTTTATGAGTTATTCGTAGCAAAGTAATTATAAGTGTATGGTACTTATAGTGTGTAATTCTTCTAAGCAAGCTGTTTTTGCTAATTCAATTTTTTTATGGTACTTATTGTATTTAATCTTTATTTACTAGTATATGGTTTTGGAAATTACAATCTTTGTGTACAATTTTTTTATTCAACTTATAAAATAGTTTTTTTCGTATTTATTGTGTATTTATTTTTTATGGACTTATTGTGTGTAATCCTCAGTAAAACCATGTTGTACCAGTTCTACAAAAAACAGTTTTACACAATAGAATCCAGTTTACCATCGATAGTCTTTCCAAAAGCCAAATCTGAAAGAAAAGAGAAGGAGCCAGAGAAGTAAGAGGGAGAAGTAAAAAAAGCAGTTTTACATAGTTGTCCAAATCTGACAAAGACGAGAAGTAACAAAAACTACATAGTTTTTACACAACAAAAACCAGTTCTACATACTTTTCCAAACATGAAAAAATAACCGAGTACATCATCCAACATATCTATTTTGTCCAATTACCAACCAAAACAGTCCTTGCCTTGGTCGCGTTTTATTTTTCGTTCTTGGACGACGTTCTCCAGGATCAGGAAATCTTAGGACTTTCTTTCTTCCTTCTTAGGAGGCTTCTTTTTCGGCTTGATCTCCAGTTACTTCACATACTCCGGGATATTCCACTGACACTCATTTGGCACCAAATAAACAGTCCTATAATACGCCAATTGCCATGTCTCAACCCAGTAATACCTCGAGCACAACTCATGTAGTTGGATATCACGATCTCTGTCTTCATTATTGGTGTTGAATTCTATAAAAGCAGCTAGAGCGTGAACACAAGGATATTTTTGAATATCAAAGAACCTCGCTTCGCCGCCATCTGTCTTCGCAATGACATCATATATACGCTCAAACCAGTTTAGCTCCTTCACTTTTAATTTCTTAGCTTCTGGCCAAGTGTCGTGCAGAAAGTTCTCGACAAATGGCACTAATTTATGTTCAACCGGTACAGCGGCAGCTTCCTTCCTATGATCATTAAACCACTCAGATATATTTGCAATGATCGCATCAAGCATGGGGATTAAGTAGTACTGCCTTGCGGATCTGAAAGTGCTGTTCAAAGATTCCACACAGTTGCTTGTGTCTATCTTGTATCTGTCTCCTGGAAAGTAACATCTTGCCGATGTATGTTTCATATTTTTTGTAGTCTCGACCAGATACTTGGCCGCAGAAGGGTATCTTGACACGAAATCACTATAAGCCTTCTCATGCTCAGCAATCGTGTAATGCCTACTGCACTCAATGAACCTCCACGCGACTACATCTTTGTTGACGCTGAAGGCCCGACCCTTGACATTTTGGGACAAATGCCATATGCAGTACCCATGATGAGCAATCGGATAAACAATAGCTATGGCGGTGAGGAGGCTTGGATTTCTGTCACCCATAAATACCAGCTCGGAAGAGTCCGGTATAACGGTTTTCAACTTCTCAAAAAACCAGATCCAACTATCATTCTTCTCACCATCAAGAACAGCAAACGCTAAGGGATAATTATGACGATTAGGGTCTTGAGCAGACGCAAAAACTAGTACACCACCGTATCCGTTCTTCAGATGTGTCGCATCAACAGTTATCACTTTTCTCATGCATTTAAACCCTTCTACGCAAGCTCCCAAGGCGGAGAAAAAATAGTGAAATTCCCCCTCATCATCCAGTTTGACACTTGTTACCGTACATGAGTTCACTTTCTCTAGCATGTGCAGGTAACAGTACAGCTTCTTATAGCTTCTTCTGCACTACCTCACAAATTACAAACATGATGGTTTTTCCCTCTTAATGCAGTCGAGTACAATATTCTTAGGCCAAGTTTGTTCTGCACAATACCCATGATACTTTTAGGAGTTGGAGTCTCCATTAGTCCTGGATAATCTTCATGCAATATAGCTGCAACTAGTCGTGGTGTTCCTTTCCTACTCTGGTTTCTTGTACTCTGACTAGCCCGAGAACATGTATGCATCTTGTTGTGCGTTCTAATCGAGAAACGAGAAGAACCATTAATCTTTGCAGCCCTTAAAAACCATTTACAGCTCTCTTGACGACATTTCACCACATAGCGCACCATATCCGACTTTTTAATCTTGAAATCAAAACAATTATCAAATGCGGCTCTATCCACCGTATCCTGCACTGCCTTTTTGTTTGGAAACTCTTGAAGTACACTCACACCCAATCCGTCTTCCCATGCCTCTATAAACTGAGTAGCTTCTACTTCAGGTGGCATTTCAACAAATTCATCACGCATATATGAGGACCTATTAATGCCGTCATCCACAGGTTCATCACGTTGTACATGTTCCTCCCGATCTAGTATCATCATCATCCTCATCCACCTCCTCTTGTTGTGGTTCAGCTTGTTGGTTGCCTACGTACAAAGTGGGCATTAACTCCAACTTCATCTAACTTTGGATGCAAAACCTCATAGTTTAAACCAAAAGAACTCAGTGGCATATTTGTGATCTCCACACCTAAAAGACATCTACGGTTTTCGTTATCTATGGAATTTAGATATACAGAAAGATCCTCATCATCAGAAATAATCCACGGTTCCTCCTTTTCCACCAGCAATGGAGTGTAATGCAGTTTCAATTTCACTCTATCTTCATCTAACCCCACTTTCTTGCATATCCTAGCTTGTAGCGTCGACATATTAATCTCCTCTATCGATGTCTTAAACAATAAACTGTACGGGCGATCTCGACATTTGAAATGTATGAGGACGACATTGCTCATTGTACCCTGCAAAAACGATACAAAAACTCAATTAGTAATACAAGTTGTTCACAGTTATACCTTCTCGGTTTACTCAGTACTACCAGTTATACCAAGTCTGACGATTTGAGGTCACAATTTTCAGTTTCATTCAACCAGTACACGAAATTAAATACATAATTGTATCCTCATATATAACTATGGTATTAATCACAACATACATTTAATAATTTTAGAATAAAAAATTTCACTATAAGTTATACTAGTTTTACTAGTTATAATCTATATATAGTAATACTAAGTTGCACTTAGTTGTCCTACCGCAAGAACGCGTATGCGCGGGCATTAGTCTAATGATTTTTGAATCTAATTAAATAATGTATAATTAAAATAATACAAGTTAAGTCATTTATAGATATATATATATATATATAGAAAGAGTTTAAAGTAATTAGAAATCGGGAAGAAGATATGAAAATAACCACTACATCTATACTATTAAAGAGGGACATCATGAATCTGTTAGTAGCACATGCGCGTGCACGGTGGTACGTTACATTTTTATCAAGAAAAAAAAATAGCCCAATCTAAATTTTTTTAATCTATTTATGTGGTAGCTGGCAAGTCTTAATAATGAAATGCATGTAATTAGGAATGGCAGCATGCATCTTGTTACTTGAAACCCGAACCTGACCCGCAAAACCCAAACTGAACCCGATCCAAAATTTAAAGAAAACCGAATATTTTTATATCTAAATTCGAAAATCCGAAACCCGAAAACACGCGTAAAACCTTTAAAAACCCGAAAAATCCGTAAAACCTTTAAAAACCCAAGCAACTTAAGACATGTTTGTCCCCACTTCAAATTGAAGCCGAAGCACTAGTATGGGCTGAAACAACCAAGCTTTTTCTTCTTTTTTAAAAAATAAAACAGCTCAGCGAAATTCTCAAGTTGATAAAATAAATAATAAATCAATTCAACAATAATTTAGGGGAAGCAAATAAAACAATAAAAGATTCTAGCAACCTAAACACTAGGTTCTAGGAATCAACAGAAGCAAAAAAAAACATAATTCCTATCATCCTCTTCTTCGGCCTTGATTCCGCGATTACACTTTTCTTTTATCTGCATCACATTGCGAAAGAGATGCATAAATATTTATTAAATACTTTGTGAGGCGATCATTTTGCCTATAGGCCAGTTACGCAATTAATAATTCTCATAATTTAATAACAATTTCCAACACTTAAAATAATTTCCATAATTAATTTAGACCCATTAATTAGTTTATTAACCAATAATTAATTAACTACCGAATTAAACCATTAACGAGATTAAACCATATTTAAATTTGATTAAACCGACATTGAACCGGCCTGTGTCGACCGACACCCGCTTGGTGTCGGTCGACACATAACCACTTGGTGTCGCTCGACACCGGCTCGACAGTCCGACGCCAAAGCCAATGAATCGACACAAATACACCAAATCCATCACAATTAACACGAAATAACTCCAATCAATCACAAATCTAGCTATTTGCGAGTCTATAGTCATGCACTCACCTCTAAAATGTTGGAAAAGGGGGAAATGAGTTGATGGAGGAAGAACACGACGAACAGCACTGCGATTCAACACCAGGAACTCGGATTTCGTTCAAGAACTCCACCAAATTGCCACTTCTCTATTCTTTCAAGTCTCTCCGCAAAACGACAAAAACAAAGCTTCCCCACGACTTTTAACACGAAAATAAGGTTTCCAACCCTAAACCGGGCTGACAACTCAAATTGAACCGGATTCTATTTCTGATTGTTGTGTCGACCGACACATTGTGTCACTCGACGCAACCTCTGGAAACTCATAGATTGGACTGCGGATGTTACATGGGCAATGCAGTGTTATAATCATTTAAAATCCATCTCCCAATGGATTAGTTAGTAAAAATGATATTAGAATTTGTAAAATCCATTGTTATTGGTAAGTAAATTCTAAGATTCTATACTTAAACAAATCTATTGCTATTGGTTTGCTGATTTTAAAGAACTATACAAAATCCATTGTTATTCAAAAAGTTTGTATTTTAATGATTCTATAAATCCATTAAAATATTTGTTATCGGGACAAAAATTTTAAACAATGTAACTCATGAAACCAAATTTCCAAAATACTACATATAACCCTAAACTCTCTCTAAATCTAACAAAATCCATTGTTATTCAAAAAGTTTGTATTTTAATGATTCTATAAATCCATTAAAATCTTTGTTATCGGGACAAAAATTTTAAACAATGTAACTCATGAAACCAAATTTCCAAAATACTACATATAACCCTAAACTCTCTCTAAATCTAACATAAACTCTTGATAAATTTCATTTCAGCCGAAGCACTAGTATGGGCTGAAACAACCAAGCTTTTTCTTCTTTTTTAAAAAATAAAACAGCTCAGCGAAATTCTCAAGTTGATAAAATAAATAGTAAATCAATTCAACAATAATTTAGGGGAAGCAAATAAAACAATAAAAGATTCTAGCAACCTAAACACTAGGTTCTAGGAATCAACAGAAGCAAATAAAAACATAATTCCTATCATCCTCTTCTTCGGCCTTGATTCCGCGATTACACTTTTCTTTTATCTGCATCACATTGCGAAAGAGATGCATAAATATTTATTAAATACTTTGTGAGGCGATCATTTTGCCTATAGGCCAGTTACGCAATTAATAATTCTCATAATTTAATAACAATTTCCAACACTTAAAATAATTTCCATAATTAATTTAGACCCATTAATTAGTTTATTAACCAATAATTAATTAACTACCGAATTAAACCATTAACGAGATTAAACCATATTTAAATTTGATTAAACCGACATTGAACCGGCCTGTGTCGACCGACACCCGCTTGGTGTCGGTCGACACATAACCACTTGGTGTCGCTCGACACCGGCTCGACAGTCCGACGCCAAAGCCAATGAATCGACACAAATACACCAAATCCATCACAATTAACACGAAATAACTCCAATCAATCACAAATCTAGCTATTTGCGAGTCTATAGTCATGCACTCACCTCTAAAAGGTTGGAAAAGGGGGAAATGAGTTGATAAAGGAAGAACACGACGAACAGCACTGCGATTCAACACCAGGAACTCGGATTTCGTTCAAGAACTCCACCAAATTGCCACTTCTCTATTCTTTCAAGTCTCTCCGCAAAACGACAAAAACAAAGCTTCCCCACGACTTTTAACACGAAAATAAGGTTTCCAACCCTAAACCGGGCTGACAACTCAAATTGAACCGGATTCTATTTCTGATTGTTGTGTCGACCGACACATTGTGTCACTCGACGCAACCTCTGGAAACTCATAGATTGGACTGCGGATGTTACATGGGCAATGCAGTGTTATAATCATTTAAAATCCATCTCCCAATGGATTAGTTAGTAAAAATGATATTAGAATTTGTATAATCCATTGTTATTGGTAAGTAAATTCTAAGATTCTATACTTAAACAAATCTATTGCTATGGGTTTGCTGATTTTAAAGAACTATACAAAATCCATTGTTATTCAAAAAGTTTGTATTTTAACGATTCTATAAATCCATTAAAATCTTTGTTATCGGGACAAAAAATTTAAACAATGTAACTCATGAAACCAAATTTCCAAAATACTACATATAACCCTAAACTCTCTCTAAATCTAACAAAATCCATTGTTATTCAAAAAGTTTGTATTTTAATGATTCTATAAATCCATTAAAATCTTTGTTATCGGGACAAAAATTTTAAACAATGTAACTCATGAAACCAAATTTCCAAAATACTACATATAACCCTAAACTCTCTCTAAATCTAACAAAATCCATTGTTATTCAAAAAGTTTGTATTTTAATGATTCTATAAATCCATTAAAATATTTGTTATCGGGACAAACATTTTAAACAATGTAACTCATGAAACCAAATTTCCAAAATACTACATATAACCCTAAACTCTCTCTAAATCTAACATAAACTCTTGATAAATTTCATTTCAGCTGAAGCACTAGTATGGGCTGAAACAACCAAGCTTTTTCTTCTTTTTTAAAAAATAAAACAGCTCAGCGAAATTCTCAAGTTGATAAAATAAATAGTAAATCAATTCAACAATAATTTAGGGGAAGCAAATAAAACAATAAAAGATTCGAGCAACCTAAACACTAGGTTCTAGGAATCAACAGAAGAAAATAAAAACATAATTCCTATCATCCTCTTCTTCGGCCTTGATTCCGCGATTACACTTTTCTTTTATCTGCATCACATTGCGAAAGAGATGCATAAATATTTATTAAATACTTTGTGAGGCGATCATTTTGCCTATAGGCTAGTTACGCAATTAATAATTCTCATAATTTAATAACAATTTCCAACACTTAAAATAATTTCCATAATTAATTTAGACCCATTAATTAGTTTATTAACCAATAATTAATTAACTACCGAATTAAACCATTAACGAGATTAAACCATATTTAAATTTGATTAAACCGACATTGAACCGGCCTGTGTCGACCGACACCCGCTTGGTGTCGGTCGACACATAACCACTTGGTGTCGCTCGACACCGGCTCGA